GGGTTTCTATTACGCTCAGATTATATGGGACATTGATATTCAAGATTTATAACTTGTTTGGTGTGACCATGTAAAATACTGGCTGAAATAAAATGCAGATTTCGAGGGTGTTGTTTTCCGGGCCTTGGGGGTGCCTGAGATTAACACATTTCGCAATATCTGTACCTACTTAAATCAGAAGTCTTTGATGATGCCTTTGAAATCGCATTGTTTTTTGGAACCACTATTTTAAATAATTCTCCCTGAAATTGTTCAAAACAACTGGAAATTTAAATATTTGTATTGCGATGTTCAGTGGTGGAAGATCAGTGTTTGAGTGAGGAAAATACAACACAATTAATGTTGACTGACGCTACATGATTTTGGTTTTTAATTCCTTTTGCTTTTATTTTTATCTAATACTTATCTAAAAGCCGAGTTGGCAATGAAAATTATTTGTTTCCGTAGTTTTCCACTTCAGCGTTTCCAAAAACGCAATGGAAAGATTTCCATTAGCTACAAACATTTTGCAAAAATATCTGAAAATCTTACCGATTAATAAATAAATGACGCGCATTGATAATCTATACAGCACAAGCTCTAAACGGATTTACCGATAGCAGAAACATTTATAGATGTATTTATGTACATATAATTAGTGAATTTTATTTATTGCGGCCTTTGTGCATTACGATCCATCTTTTAGTGATCAATAAAAAATCAAAGAGACAAAGATCCGCTTGCGGACATCAAAATATTCCTAGTGTATATTAAATTCCTTCTTCTCAGTATCTGATTTTATACATTGTTTCAGGCAAACGATGCAATGGACGACGAAATCTCCACAAAGGCGCAGAAATGTCCTCAAATTCAACGATTATTTCAACGAACTCCACAGACATTTATAGCGTACCTATCAGAGGTAAATTGCTTTGTATAACTTATTTATGATTATAACAAAAATGTTAAATTAACGGAACTGAGTGCAGCAAGAAAATGGATAATCGCTTAGTGGCGTTGCCTCCTATTGAGAAACAGACTATATACAGGGTGTACATTAAAAACATAATTGCAAAAATTTGAAAAACAGTTTGAAAAAATAGTTATACAGGGTGTTCCATTGAGAACACCTTGTATAACATTTTTTCCAAATAACATCATCAAAACTATAACATATTTTCGATGAATATCAATGCGATAATCATGTTCAAAGTTTAAATTAGATCTGATTTTTCGCACGTATCTGACAAATGCTTTTAAAATATGATAAGATCTTCGAGTGAAATTGATATATGATTTAAGGGGAATTTGATTCTTTTAGCGCCAATTAGAACGACACAAGATGTGGCCAGACGGTACGAAAGATGCGTCTCCTCAATGTCCACCAAAAGTCAACTGTACTTGGTACCGTTTGATGTACTTCCCCCCAATTTTGGTAAGTTAAATGCTGACAATAATTAATAATTTGCATAAATTTAATTAACAAAGGCCACGTCGTATGCACAATGTTTGTTAGCGTTCATGCCCATATGACATGATAGCGTTTGTGGGATATTTGCTCGCGGTACATCAGGTTTTTGGCAAAGTCATAAAGATTTACGAGACACCCACTAATTAAAGATTAAATCACATGCTGTTGATGCCAGATAAGGTGTGCGAATTCTAGATTTACTTGTTTGGTTTTTGAAATATTTACTTATATGTGTGTGCTTTATTGACGCATTCGATTATTGGCATGTTACGCCTGTTTTGCATTATATATAGGTAAGCATCCAAAGTTTTATCTGTATTTCTTCAAAATCTGTCTACTAAATTCAAACGAAAATGTTCTAGTTTTAGCTTCTGTTTTCTAACCGCGCAAGTTAAAGAGTGTTTGAAGACTTAAATTAACTTTTCATTTTTGTATTTTTCGTGGAAACTAGAAACATTTTTTAAATGATGTTTGGTATAAAAAAGTTCTTAATTTAAAGCTCTATTTTGGAATAACTATAAGAGCTTTGCAGCTCAACCCGTTCTGTAAATCTGAGCCAAAGACTAAGACGGGGTTTGAAGACTCGCAGAAACTTACAATTTTCACATTTCGCCTAAAAACTAGACTGTTCTTAAATGATGTTTGGTATAAAAAAGTTCGTAATTTAAAGCTCTATTTTGCAATGACAATAAGAGCTTTGCACCTCAACCAATTTTTTAAATATGAGCCAAAGCCTAAGAGCGGTTTTGAAGACTGGCATTAACTGAGAATTCGTTCTATTAAAAAGTGTCACGCCAGACAATGTATTTTCACACGTTTTCGCGATTTTAAGGAAACCGTGAAAAAACTAGGAAGAACTTCTGATTGAACAAAATGAGGAAATGTTTGACCTTAAAACGACTTATTAAATTAAAGTGGTTCTTTTCAAATGGCTGATATTTTTCATTGTTTCAACATACTTTTTCCACTTACGATAGTTCATTTGCTTGCTTTTCCCTGCCAAGAACTAAATGGTTCAAATTCATAACATATAATGATATACTTTTTTCTGCCTCCAGATTATTCATCAAGAGAGGTGGAAGTGAGAGCAGACTATGTGATACTGAAAGACTTGAGACTATTGGAGAGATATCATTCCTGCGATGGAGGTGTTGTTAACGAAGCGTACGTACCTCAACCGGAATACAATCCTCACATATATGGAACCATTCCTCCGCTTGAACGCGAGCCTTATAAGAAGCAAGCATCATATAATCCAATGTTTTACTAAATGAACTTTTTCACCTATACCCACTGATCGAGATTTTTCGGGAAAGGCGAGCTTTACTGAAGAGCTAAAGAGCTTTGAATGAAATTGTTTTCCTGAAGCTGTTGTACTACTCTTAATGTAAGACCTATAACCTTCTAACTGTATTTGGAGGGTTTAAAGGTAAAAGTGACCAAGTCGAAAATTGCCGTATTTCTGTTTACCAAGTAGTTTAAAAAAATAATATATTTGTCTCCAAAAACTGACGAAGTCCCCCAAGACCACACAAACAGGTACACTAATATACGTTTTTAATAACCAAGTTTCCAAAAGGATTCTGATATAATGTTTGGCTCGGTTTAAGAGTACATTTACCAAAAAAAATTATATTTTAGACTTGGTCAGTTTTAGCTTTAAGTCCACGATTTAAGCTCATATATTTTACACTTGGTGTAATAAATATGGAACCTTCGGGCTTTATGGAAGCAAAGTTCTGGTAAGTAAGGGAACCTTCAACAGACCGATTTCGAGTTGTAATTGACAATACAAATATTGTTCGTTTCGTTCTGTTGAAAGTGACTACTACTTTCGAGCGCCTTTACGGGAAAAGCATTAAATGTGATTACTGGATGTTCTGAGATTGAAAACTAGTTAGTTCCTTATGTTTGATACATCTATTTTACCTCGTATCATTACACGTTGTTATATAAAACTATTTTATTACATGAAATTTATACAAATAATAATGTTTTTATTTACTGACTTGTCCCATTTCTTTCGCAAATACTTAAAAATGTGTCCACATGTCTGATAATGTTTTGCACTTCACAATTAGTGCGTCTGAATCTCTTATCAAAAAAACGCCTGCAAAAGATTATAAGATTTGGCAAATATTTGAATAGGAAAATCGTAGATCTTAAAAGCACATTTCGAAACTGCTTGAAATTCGTTTTTAATCCATTTTTACGTAGGAATGTCAATCGATCAATTAATACTACAATTGCTAAAAAGCAACTCTAAACGATTTTCGGGATTTCTTGCAAATGTACCAAATAAATTCGATTTTTACAATATTGAAGAAACGAGGAAAACAGTTTTTAAATAAAAATCGGGGTTATAAAAATCAGCAGGTATTTCGAAAAAAATAAATTAAAAATAAACAAACGAGAGAAAATAATACACTGGAATTACAAAGAATAATCATTTTAATATATTTATCATAACTTTAGGTTAATGCATACAGTCTTAGAATGTTATCGCTTCAAAACGTTCATATTATAATGCTGTTTAAGCCAGCCTAAAGTAAAATATAGCCTATTTTTAAAATATGTATAATATGACTTTAATACCGCAATCAAATATGTAGTAACACTTATGTTTAAAAATGGTTTGCACTGTTTTGGGCGCTTTATAAGTAAGCGGCAAACATCCACTACCACAGAACAGCACTGTGTTCAACTGAACAGTGAATATGCATTAGATGAATGGTGCATCGGCTCATATCTGAACATTATGGTATCACAATTCTTAAGATATTTATATACAAAAAGGTGTGTGTCAGTTAAAGAATCCAGTAAACGAGCAACAAATTACGGTAAAAATAAACAGTCTTCATTGCATTTGTTGTTGATCATATTTCCACAAAGATTGTGCATACTTATGGCGAACTCTCTTAAATATCTGTATAAAATGGAGCAGCCCCCCATAAGTCGAATTGCCATATATTTTGATTAGTTGAATCAATTAACTTTAAAAAGTAAAATAACATTGTTTCAGCCAGATTTGCACATTAAAGTAGGAAAAGGTCAACAAATGCAATTACATCTCATAATCACCTATGAAACCTTTAACTTTGGTAATGCGGGTTGTAAGGGGCCTGCTTACCATAAGCTTCTCTTTGGGGGGCTGGGGGCTGAACGGGAGGCATGGCCATTGCTACGTCATATGGAGGAGGTTGGTTTTGAAATCCTGGCTGTGGTGGGTACGCTGTAATAAAGAAATAATACATCTTATCTAAGAAATGAATGAAATCCAATGCGGTTTTGCGCTTAAAACAAAGCGTTTATCATCTACTTGTGCGGAATTTACGCTTTACGAACTAAATATTTATTAGTCAGTTCTCTGGATCCCACAAGTATCATCATTCATATGACGAATGTGTCACGATTACTTTTTAAAACAATATTAGCCATTAGAAGCAAGCAGGAAGCCACACATATGTGCTCCGTAAACAAACATAAAAACCATGCATTTAGATATCGTTCGGCCATAAAACACCTCAGTTCTGATAAGTAAAAATAAACGAATCCGAGTCAGATTTAATTAAATGCCAAAACCGGTAGGGGTAGATTGAAAAGAACCCACTAAGTCTCCTAAATCATAAAAAACTATAAAACTTACCAGTTGGAGGATAGGGAGAAGCACCTGGAGCAGGGCTTGGAGGATATACAGGGCCGGCCGGCGGATAGTGAGGACCTGAATACGGTGGGTAACCTGCAATATACAGAACATTTTCTGTAAAATCTGTATTTTTCATTAAAAATATAATTATTGTGCAAATTGATAATTCAACTAAACTTTGGAAAACTAAATTCAAACAGCCCAAATGAACATATTTAAAGTGGGGATTTAGCTAGAAATATTCAACTTTTTCTACGAAGATCAAATAGGATTTGCTCGGATATTTTCCAAGAATCCTTCCGAAACAGGCAGGTACACATAATCAGTAATAAAATGAAAATCGATTTTGAAACTGGTGGCAGGTTTTCTGGCTTTTATGCCGCCATCAGAAGCAAACATTAAATTATCGTACGTGAAATCAATTGAAATTAGTCTGATGTTTCTTTAGCTTTCATCCAAACAAGTTGAGTCAATAGTGATTCATTACACTCCATTATCAGCATGATAAAATAAATTAATTATTACAGTATTACCACCATTAGCTACCATTTAATGACGAACGAATACGTCAATCGAGTTAAATTTCTGTTACATGCAAACCAACATATATTTTTTTAAATTATATTCATATCATTTTTGACCTCAGTGGTTTATTGGCATGCATCACAAACATAAAAACGAGCTGGCCAAGAGTTGAGACCCCTATTCGCAGCGATTTAAGTATTAAACGGGTTTAAACACAAAAAGGAACGCACAAAAACGAGTACTCATTGAAGAGGTCCTGGTGCAGTCGTTCTACTTATTATGTGAATTCGTTACTAAAAAAAATATTTTATCTGAAGAATAAGCACATTTATTCACATATGAGAGCATTTAAAACACATATTTGCATATGGTTTTTGGTATATGTTTTCATTTAATATAGTGCATGTGGTTCTTTCATTAGCAACACTAAAATGTGTTAATTAAAATTAATAAGCCTAAACATTTATGTACCTGTTCAGAGGTCGGCATAAGAACCTGTTAAATGTGATGATTTGGATTTCGTATGGATTTAAAAAATATATATTCCGACTCCTATCGCCTTACAGCTGCGCTTTCTTGGCACAAAAATTGGTACATTTTGCAATAAACTATTATATTCAAACTAGAACATTTAATATTATATATAACATCCTCAAAAGAAGAAGTGATTTAAACCCAATTAGGATGAAAAGAGAAACTCAAAGCTGGAGAAGTAAACCAAATTTACTATAAATCTACACTGAAGATTTTGATCATCTACTCAATCGTCCCAAAATGTACATTTCTATTGCAAAAAAAATATAATTCAGTGAAGAAAAAAATGTGCTACAAAGTGACTATCCTGTAAATGCAACACTAACACTGAACATAAAAATCAAGCTCTAAAACAATAGCCAAAAACCAACACAACATACCCATTGGTGGTGGATAAAATCCTGCAAACATGAAATTGCATACATTAGTGAGGAATGCAAGAAGCGACATATAGAAATTTGCATTACTTGCAATCTTCTATAGTAAACATGAGTTTGATTTAATAACCGGAATAGAAACGGTGTAAAAACCAGATCTTATTTTGAAAATTGGGGCCGTTTCGTCACTTTATTTTGGCAAAAATTTTTAGCATCAAAAATAGGTTTGATGAAGACTTCAGATGTTAATCAAAGGGTAAAAGCATGAACATTCTTAGAAAATAAAAAACCATCGCCAACTCCCTAGCAAAACATTGCTCGGTATTTCAATAAATGTTGATTTTGCTTTCTCCATTCTTAAGTTAATCTGTAAATTAGGGTCTTTTTGATCATGTACTCTATATCCATATATACATCTTTCAATTAATTTGGTCCCTATCCTTTGGACGAATATAATGGATGTTCCTCTAATTAATCACCATCAATTTTATTTGATTTATATTAGTCTTAAGTTCAATTTGGTTGCTTATTACAGTCAATCTACTGAGCATCTTTAGTATTTCTTCGATATTATCACATTTATTTTCTTCGGGGAATACTAAGAGCGCAACCCTATCTAATATCTTTCTAAAATAATTACTTACCTTGATGAGGCATAGGCATGGATGGATAAGGTGTTGTATTAGGATGTCCTCCAGGAGGAGGCCCACCATGTACAGGATATGGTTGTTGTGGAATGGGTTGTGTAGTAACTGTTACAGTAGGTCCGTCTGAAACACGTTAAATTACGTATTCAATTGTGAACAAACTTTCTTCATTGCAGACAATAGAACTATTTATTATTAGTTAACCTTGTAAGTTGGATAGCAAATGACAAGCTTTTGAATAGGTACCTACTAATTGGATTACACTTTTGAACAATATAACAATATGCAAGAAGCTTGTTATATGGTATTTAAATAGTTGTAGTGCTAAGTATAGGGTTTCCTTACATCCGTATACTGTGCCTTCTCGTTTCTTTTTACAACACCATCCACATATCGAGAAGATAACGATGCAAATTACGACGACAATTATGGGCCCGATAATATCCATTATCAATGAAATTTCCCAGAAAACTGATCTTTTGTGATAACAAGCACTTAATTTCACTGAGTTCCAGAGCTGATGCTGCACTAAATGTTTTACCCACTATCTAAGAAGAGACAAGAAGCCTAGTGGACACACATTGCAGGGTATTCAGATGCTAGTGTAAACAAGTGTTGTCTACACTGAAAACCTTTTCACTTCAAACGCGCAAAAATCTTTCTCCCTTATCTATGGCAAATGTTGGCAAAGATCAAATGCAAATATGTCAATTCGTTTGACACACAGCTGATGAATCATATGTGAAGTGAGCAAGAGATGGCCACATAGCGGTGACGGGTGATAAAAAAAGATGGCCATATTTCTGAATAATTTATTAATTATTGAGATATTTTAAATTTAAGAAAATTAGACAGTAGATGTACATGATTGGAAGTGCTGTTTTTTTTTAAATAAAATAGTGGTTAACCGATACAAGCAAAAAGTAAAGAAAAATTAACCTTAGCTACCTACAAAATGTGTCAAAGAAAAAATCAACAGAATAATAAATTTGGCAATTAAACAAAATTTTTAAAATTTTTGTACTTCCCTGCCTGGCATCAGTGTGACAAATGGCGTGGCAATTTTTTGCTTATGGAAAAGTAGTGCATTTCAATAAGGGAAAAGTTGTGGAAAACTTCATTTTTAGCAGAAACACACAAAGAAAAGTTATTAGTTAAAGCGAGTCTATAAGGTGAGCATATTGTTAACTTCGACCACCAGGGTCTCGTAAAGTAGAAAATTACCGATTTTAAGTACGGTTTTCTCATAAATGTTCACCTATTTTCTAAAGTCTCTAGTTTGGCACATACTGTATATAACCATGATACAAGAAATATATAATATTCCTTGTATCATGGTATATAACACTCTAGATTATTTCCCCCAGTTAAGGCGCAATTTATTTATTTGTTGATTTTGCCTTGAATAATAAAACAGTGCAATAATTAAATGCAGTCAAGCAATTAAAAGCGAATTTGGCAAGAATGGTAAAGAATTGCCACCAGCAAGTAGGTATTTAACGGTTTCATTGAGTTTCTTTTCCGCTCCAGTACCCCAGCAGGCTGTTCGCTACCATAGCAAATAAATCAATTATCTTTGAAGGCAAAGCCAAGGTATTGCGATATAGAGATAGATAAGCATCTGATGTAAATTGAGAAATATTGCACTGTTTGCTGTTAACTTCCGATTAGTGTACTTACTAGCGTAGTATGGATCTTGGCGACGATTTGAATCGTTATCCTTACAACACAAGCAACATAGTCCTAAAAATAACAATTACACGTATCAACTAAACGTATTAAAGAGCCAAACGTGTTTCATACCTATGCAGAGTCCGCATTCACAACAGCAACGCAACAAGTCACAACAACCATCATCCATGTTAACCTGCGGTTATGGAATACTTAGATGGATAAGAACGTCCTCACCCAGATTTCATATAAATGGTTTATTTGGTTAAATTAGCAGTTGCCACGATAATTTAAAGAGATTGCTGCTGGATTACACTACCTGGTTATGAATGTTTACAACCTAGACTGGCTGTTTGGCGCTCGCGCATTAAAATGCGCTAATTTAATGATGAAAAATCATATGTTTCGAACAATGACGTCACACAACATGAATCATTCACTTTATTGATTTATGCGAAAAATACAATCAAGTCTAGTAAAGGTAAACTTACATGATGAGTTGACCATTATACCACAGACATCTCATACTCATATGTATGTTTTCCCTGTCTAATTAATTGGAAAATGTTGTAATTGTTGTCCGACAAGGAAAATTCAGAACCAAAGCAGGAACGTTTACGAGCAACGTACACCCTCTAGAAGAGACAACTCGAAAAAAACTCCAAAAATCGCTCAAGTTTAATGTTTGCTAACCCTGTAAATGCTGGGCCAAAAACATTTGGTTTCTCAACTGCGCCTTCTCTTTCAAAAATTCATAACTTCCAATACAGAACAGGCAGCAAACTGAAATTTGCACACCATGTAGAAGACATTTGAAACTGAAAATGTTGAGACTTTTATTTGAATCGCAATAAATTCCGATTTTTTCTGCCTGTGAACTCGTGATTAAAAAGGAGCATTTGCCAGAGACAAGAGGAATTTCTCTGCATTTGCTCTCCACTTCGCGCAAATCGTAGAATTTTGCGTTTTGCTGTTCTTAAAAGAATAAAATCACGACGTTGGATAATTCCGCGCTAAGATGCTACTTTCTCCTTAAGGAGTTTCCTAAGGAGCAGAGAATTAATACAGATTAAATACATAAAAGCAAAAATACTTTTTGAAACACAACATTTCAAATGTCGAATTGAGGTTATGATTTGCACAGATCACAGAGTGAAAGGCGATTCCCAGGGGGATATTCTGTGCACAGATCACAGATAACCCAAACTAACCTCTGTTATTCTGTGTTGTTAACCAAAAAAAACTTACTTGTGTACTTGTCTATCTATGAATTCGTATCCTCATGCATAATAAATTTGTACATTTTGTACGTTTGCACTAAACAAAGATTGCTATGGATAGGAGAATCGATCCTAGACTGAAGAAACCGAGATCGTCCAAAGGCACTCCTTTTTTTGTGCAAAGAAACTATTGGGCTGCTGGTACACTCGGAGTTTGTGGATTCCTTTGGTTTGTCTGGGAGTAAGTAAACTATGTATTTAAGCTTTGGTGTTACCCAGCAAAACTTGTTCATGAAATAGCCCTCAATTAGCTATAAGTTAGTTTTCCAAAGGTGAATTGTACAACAGGCTAAACTTGTTTTTGTATTGTCTATGCTAGATTGAAACATTTTATAACGATAAACAGGATAGTAAAGAACATTTTTTTTTTCGTATGGACTAATTCTTTCATGTACCCTGTCTGGTCGATCTGTTTTAAGCGATTCTTATGGCAAAAGCTGTCTTCAAAGTTCAACAGCTCCTCTTATAGAATTTTTTGTTTGTGCAGTTTGATTCCAGTTACGTCTTTCAATTATTAGTCATAAGTCGATAAAGCAAGCAGAAAATCCTTTTTTAGTCACGGCATTTCTGAAGGAGTAGGTTCATTCCGAAGAGTTTGCGTCTTTGAAGTCCAACTGCGATTCTTCAGTACAGATACCTCTGATCTACCTATAATATAATGTTTTTAAAGTCTTGTTCTTTCAATATTAATTGTATTCTACCATTTGCAAATGAAATGGTTGTCCACTATTCTATACAAATGCAACATAATATCTTGTTTCTTGACAACGACAGCAAAGCTTTCAAAAAATCCATTTTTCAATATGTATAGCCTGTTTAAAATCCCTATTTCATGACTTGATCTGAAGATTTACCAGATGAACAAAGGCTGGCTAGTTCTTGCATTTTGTCAGTTCCTTTCTGTTGTATTGGCCTGCGTTAATTTATTTAAAACATGCATGTAGCAAATCGCAATTATTTTCAAAATTATTATTGATAGAATGAAATATCAGTTAATGTTTTAATTGTTTTGATAAATTGAACACACTTTTAGCGTAAACGAAGCGAAAAATTTGCGTCGAAAGTGAGCTAATTCAAGAACATATATATGCATTAATTAGTAAAAATATGGCCCTTTTAGAAATGCAATTTGCAGTAAGAATAACCACCCAACCGACTAATATTGTTAAGTTTTGTCCTACAGTTTGACAGTTTTCCACAGTAGTATATCAAAAGTGGGTTTAATAACCATGGTATATTGTCATTATTTAACATTTTTAATTATAGAAAAGCAGGCTTACTCATTTGGGCATATAGTGTGTTGAAAACGTATTGTATGCAAAAATATATTGGTAGTGTTAATTATAGGTTGTTTGGCTGCTAAGCATAATATTACAAGAAAAGCTGCTTTCGTGTAATCGGCATTTGGATAGGATAGGAAATCTCACTAGCCTAGTTATACTCAACATACGAAAGCCAAATTTTATGTAAAACTAACTGTAAAAATTAACTTTTCAAGGCCAAGGTATATATTATTATAACTTTTATCTAAGGTTGTCACTTAAAACTACGAAATCCAAAGAGATACTAAGTAATTACTTGGAAGATTCTGAAGAACTCAAAGCGAGAGCGGCTTATAATCGAGCGGCGTGGACGAATCCTACACTGTATACGCTAGCCGACAAGATCAGGCAGAGAAAGGCTTACGAAAACGAACCACCACCAGAGTCACGTTTCTTCAAGTTTCTAGAGCTTCTTAGAGAACAACCATCTGGAGTGCACTCAGCTAACGATGAATAATATCACTAGGTTTGAATATAGTATGTTAAACCGAGCGTAGTAGTTAAATAAAATAAACATGTAGATATTTCAACGATATTTATTTAGCGGAATTTATATTTTCTTGTCCTCAACTATCACAAACATTCATTAACATTTTCCTGAATAGTTGCTAGGTATTATTTACCATAGTGGTAAGTATTTTTTATTTATTTTTTAGAAAATCAAAAATAACGTCAACGTTTCTTCACAGTAACTCTACAACACCTGAAATATCGCCATATTTCTTAGAGAGGCCCGCACAAGCAAATCAGGATAACATTGAAACTGCCTCAAAACCAACAAAAAAAGTTGAACCTACTGTTAATCTAAATGATTCTACTGATGATTTTATGCCGCCTGTAGAAATCAAAAAAAGGAAATTCAGGTTAAAAAAGCCGCAAGTCCAACTCAAGTCAAAAAAGCGTAGAAAGTCAACTGCAGGAAACGGGATTAATAACTACACTATTGAAATCTTTAATGAAAATGTAAGCTACAGTGGAGAGAATGGTGATCATTTGCAACTGGCTGTTGCTCTCTCCAACTCGTCGTACGAAGCGGAATATGGACAGTCGTCAAACTCTTCAGCGCTTATTAACGAGCCGTTGGATGATATTGGCCAAATATTGAAAAATTCGAAACCAACGAATTTGGAACGATTTGGATTTCAAAGCTGTAAAGCATCTTTGTTGGTCTCAAATCGAAAGAAAACACTTACAGAGGTGAGATAAGTAAAACTCATTTTCCACTAACTCAAAAGGATTCTTCCATTTACAGGTCTCCAAAAAAAATAAGAATCGTTTCAAGTACATCACGCCAGTGCTCAATATTCGTTCTGCGGACGACAGGGAATCGTTTATTTCATCTAAAATATCTTTAATTTTAAATCAGTTAAATCCAAGGCGTAAAATGCAATGGGATCCTGGGACACTCTGTTCTAAATTGCGGAAATTCATGCCGAAAGATCGTAACATATTTCAATTGGCCGCATCGAATGAAGTTGATAACTTCTATATTGACGACCTTAATTTACCTAAGAGCGAGTATAAATGTGGTTGTCTATTAAAAGACTGGAGTTTGATACCAGGAAGAGATAAATCACCAACGAGAGATCTAAAAGAAAACAACGACTCTTGTATTGAGTGTTTGGAAGCTGCAAATTCTCAGCAATTGAACACATTCGAACAATCTATGGATGAACATTCAAAAGATCCACCAGCCCCATCATCTCCAGATCTCTTTCCATCAGATGATGATGCTTGCTTGGGAACTTCACGTGAAGCAACCGAATATAAAAGCTTCATCTCCGGAGATGTTCTAGAGGAGAAACACTTTTCACAACGCCTAAGCTCGCAATACAAAAAAACAACTGTGGATCGCAACATTGTCATTAGTGAAGGTAGCACGTCTATTGAAGTTATTGAATTATCGGATGATGATAGTGAAAACAATGAATATGTGCGCAAGTTGGCCAGTCCTGAGCTTGCAACCACTAATTTGGAAAAACAAAATGTGATTGAGAATCAAGCAGATATTAAAATCCCGGTTGATAGAAGGTCAACTGAAATTAGTCCAAGTGAAAATGATGGGAGCGGGCCTCATTCGATTAGCTTTGAAGACAATACTAATTCTTCTGGTGATGAATTAAGTGGTAACTGGCTTAGCGATGAAGATGGTTGTTCCAGGCAGGCTACTTCATTAATGGTGGATATAACTGATATTATCGATCCAATGTGCAGTGAAAGCTCGGACGATTCTGCAAGCAATAAAGAAATCGAAAATATATTTGAAGGTAAAGAACTATCAGTACCATATGCAACAGATGATGATGAACCCCTATCACACTCTAAGGCCGAGGAAGAAGACTGCCAGAAATCTTGTTTTGAAAATTATGGATGTTTTCAGATTACTAATGAAAACCCGAATTCAGAACAACTTCCCAGTTATGAAAACATCGACACATCAGTTGGCGTTGACTCAAGCAAAGCGCAATTTTGCAGAAGTTTACTGGGGTACAATTCCTTAGATCTGAATGTTACTGAATACGTAAAAAGTCTACTAAATAAGGAAAATGAGTGTTCTAATCACCAGGGCCTTGAAAGCAATTCTAGTGCTGATAATTTGAGCCGATTTTCAACTCTTGATGAGTCTCGGACAAGTGATGGAGAAGAATTCACGGAAGACCAACCAGGTAACGAAATTTTCTCATGAAGATTGAAGCATTTATTTTAAACAATTTAACTTTTAGTTTCATCAGCTGATGGTTTACGTACGAAACGTTCCATAACACCAACAAATTTCATAATCAAGACGAGAAATGTGACGCCGATGCCCCATTATGATACGTTAACAAACAGTGAAGTGCAAAATCGTTTAAAGCAATTTGGCATCAAAACCCTAACCCGCACCAAAGGAATTAAATTATTGAAGTATATTTACGAGTCAACGCACCCTCTTGTGGAAACTGTAGATGTACGGGAGGAAAATGCTACAGAAATGGAATCCCCAGGTATTAAACGGCGAAAAAAAACGCACACAGATAATCCAGGCACATCAGATTTTCCTTGCGAAGAAGAACCGAATTTGATAGAAATTGTAGGCGATTCTTTACTGGAAAAGTAAGATACTCGGTCATAATAGTCACATACTAAAAATTAATAGTAGTTTTGGTTTTTATTATTCGTTTCAATTGCAGTGAGCGGCTCGATGATCTGATCTTCGAAAGAACCAAATCAGTAACAGTAAAATCATGCCAAGTTCCGCTTCAGATCGTTTGGCATAACTTCCTCTGTTGTAATCCTACTATGAGAGAGCAGATTCTTTTATATCGGCCGCTAATATTGAATACCATTCATCAAATGTTGAAAAGTTTGGGATTTAAATTTAATAAACAGGTTAGTACCATTTTGTTTTGAATTTGAAAATTTAATACTAGATATTAAATTTATTTTGATAATTATTTGCGTATCGTGAAAAAAATTGTTTAGTTTTAATTTGGAAGAATTTTTAAAATATGTTTTTTATTAATAATAATCAAGTTATAGAGCGTTTATAACTGGTAGCTCAAGATTTACGTACATCGTACATCTTTGCCTAATGACGCGTTTATATCACTTTTGTATGATGATTTATACATTTTTTTTGTTTTATTGCTAAAATGTAGTACGTTTTCGATTTTCACTGATATTAAAAAAATTATTTTTTCAAATTATTGCACGATGTTTGCCTGAGAAATGTGTCCTTAAAATTAAATTCAATAATTTCAGTGGCCATAAGAACACATTGTGATATTAATTAACATGTACAAATTTTTATCTGAACTTTCAAACTTTCATTCATATAAACGTGGGATGTAAATGATTCAGGTCATTCGCGGAAAAAATGTTTAGGAACTCACTGTATGAAACAAACCAAGTTAACATGTTTCTTGGTATGGAACTTTTATTATACCCGGAATTTTCATTATAGTGAGTTTCAATAGGTAATAAAAAGTAATCGTTTTTTTTTATTTAAAACTGAATGTTCTCATTTAGGTTTTGGGTGTATTCAATACGGTTTCTTTTATAGGATCTGCTAACGTTCCTGGACAGAAAGTGCATATCTGTACGTTGCAATACCATACAGAAAAAGGAGCCGTGTTTGTAATTATTGTGGATTGTAATGAAGTTAAGGAATGAAATGTATCTGTTAGTGTCTGCATGATTTTGAAACTTTTTTAATTGTAAATACAACTTTTACTATTTACCTAATTTATTTTGTTTCTATTTCAATACATTAATCCAACTAGTTCTCTAAAATATCACATTCAATTATTACCATAGATCAGCACAGTGAAATTTCTGATTTATTCCTGTTTACTCAATGCTTTTAACAAACCTATGGTACCCATTAAAACCGTGCAAACTTATGGTAGAGATTCTTTCTTCTGCTTTATTTTGTAGTCAGATAATGCGGCTTTTATGGCATCTTCTGCCAGCATCGAGCAATGTAGCTTAACTGGAGGTAAAGACAATTCCTTAGCGATTTCGGTGTTCTTCAGACCCAGTGCTTCATCAACTGACTTTCCCTTCACCCATTCAGTTGTATAAGAGCTGCTGGCGATGGCTGAGCCACATCCAAACGTTTTGAATTTGGCATCCACGATTTTTCCATTTTCATCAACTTTGATTTGCAGCTTCATGACATCTCCACAAGCAGGCGCCCCTACTAGGCCAGTGCCCACACTTTGGTCGTTTTTGTCCAAAGAGCCCACATTGCGTGGGTTTTCGTAATGATCAATCACTTTTGGGTGATACGATGCAACCAACACTCTGAATGGATTGCACGATCCACAAAATGATTTCAAAAGCGTGGAACTGGAATTTAAAGCCATTTTTGTGATGTCCTGAACGAGGGAAATTAATCTGTGAAATTGTGCGAAGTGGAAATATTTAGTTCGTTTTAGAACGTTTCGTTATTCAACTTAACCTTTGATTGTCACGATTGTCAACAAGGAGACCACGATGAAAACAAGGTTGCCAGCACGTTGAATTGGAACGTTGCTAAGCTTATAGCTTTTATTCCTTTACTGCCAAGACATTCTTAAAAGTCAAGCAAATGTCCAAACATAACCTATAATTTCAAATTTTTAACGGATAATTTTGTTGTTTGTCTATATATCGGTTGTTGTGCAGTACAAAGAAAAGTAAGCGGTTTCATAATTTCATAATACTTTAGTTATGGGTAGAGCAGATCAGCTTAATTATATATCCCCTGATGTACCCATTTCCCTTATGGACCTTATTATTTGCGCTCTACTGTCTGTCCAAACCTTCCTCTTGATCAGTTTTGTTTGCTTTTCATCCTGTTTTTATCCGCTATAATCCATTATTTGCTACCTCTCTGTACTTTATCCTTACCTGGTCGTGTTCAGAGATAAATTGATACGAAATCTTCAATTCCTACGCTGATAGTCTTTACAAACATTTGCTGCTTCTGCTGCCTAATTGTCGTTTTCCTGCAATTATTTGCCACCCAGACTAGTGTAATTCATTTAAAGTTACTTAACAGTAAAAGCTGCGTATATATGTAAAAGTGTACATAATTCTCCTTATTACAGCGAAATCCAAATAATTCAATGTCAGATGTAATTTCACTTGTATTGTTTCTGATATTACTGAATCTAACATTATTTTATTCTATTAGGTTGCATCTGTCCGTAAAGTGGTTTGGTGACGTCTCTTTTGAATTGTTCACTCTTAAATTCTTTACTTAATTATTTTAGGGCATGAGTCTACGAAATATTTATTAGTTTTGTTTCCGTTACAAACTGTTGTTGTTAATGCCGCCATCGTCTCATTAAGGCCTTCATCAAAACTATTATTAAGTTGATTAAGTTCTGATAAAGCATGTTACTTTGGCAAAAGAAAGTTCTCAGCAGGGTTTATAGAGAGTGCCCGAAAATAATATCACATAGATTAAAATAACAAAACTGTTACATACGGCTACAGAACTTTTGCGACATTTTCTAAAGATATCCAAGATATTTATAAACGGCTTGCGCTGAAAGTATAAAGTTTGGCAGATTTTGATATGGGGCGTCACATCCAGTAGTCGTCTACCTAAAGATTAACTAACTTGTTTGAGTCATAACTTTTTTTTTCATCTCAATTTAGTGATTTCCAAATATCTGCTATGAGAAAAGATCATCTCGTTAGAATAGATCGTTTTCCAGACAAGTCAGATTTTAAACTACATAAATGTGACTCAGTAAAAAAGTGATTTTTGGTCTACTACTTGAATTCAGGCCATATTAGTCAATATGTTTTGATTACAAACTAGACGTTGATTCCTACAACTTGTCCATTGAACTTTAAGCCTAAATTTTTAGACACGAATCATTCGAAGGTGAATTAAACCTAGTTCTACGATTCAGTCAGTAATCCTATAAGTAAGTTTTGATTTTATTTCATTGATATCATCAGTATGATGTTATGATTCGTTACAGTTTTAAAACATTTTTTTACATTTTACGCATAGTAGTATCAAATACAGAGCAAAGAAACAATTATGTATCATTGTTCAGGTCTTTGGCAAAAGCTGGAAGATTCTGTTAGTATTTAAATAATTGAACTGCAATTCGACCACGGGAAATGCTCATTTAACTGTTAAATTCTTTACAGGAGAAGAAAGCTCACGTAAAAGAAAATTCTGGCAATGGAAAGTTCGACTCCAAATACGCGACGCAAGCCAAATCGAGCCCTTCTTGGTGATACTCCCCAGTTCACCCCACTGAAGATAAAAGGACGCTTTGCGCCAACTGATCCTGATATATTAAGTGAAGTAAGTTCACTAATCATTTCAGTTGTCTTCACCCAACATTTTCAATGATTTTGTGTTTCCTTAGTGAATATTTTTTGAAGTAACTGGAAAGCGATAATAGCTACGAAACCAGTGATGTTTTGTGTGTTCTATTTGCGTTTATAGAAAGTACATTTAATAAATTGCTAACCAATTTTTTGGACACTATACGGCTAATAAGTAATATTTTTCAATATACAGAATATTGCCGCTATTTTTTTTTCGAAACTGTAACTTCTTTTTTTTTATGTTTGTAATGGAGTCTGCACTGATATTTCCTGACAAAGATAACGCGACTTGTAAAATTAAGATTCGTTGGAGTCTAAGAGACTTCCATACAAAAGAAAGTGGTTACACTTGAATTTTTGAGAAGTCAGCGTTTGGATGCCTCCTATTTCGTATTGTAGAAATCGATTAATTTTAATAGCCTGATTCTACATTTTGGGTCGCATCGATCATGACACATCAGTATTGTTTTCTTAGTCCCTATAAAGATCTCCACGAAAATGACTCCAATTCTGAATGATTCCATAGAATGTGCGATAATCTCTTCGAATTTACTAGTCGGTATATTACATAAATTTAGCAACTTATAAAGATAAATTAAAGCTTTAAATTTTAGTAAAATCCTGGATTCTCTAATCGCACAAATTCATCATTTTCAAATAATATAATTCAATTATATTATTAATTTTATTTTATAATAATTATATAATATAAATTATATTATTAAATTATTTGAAAGTTTTTATCAAGGTCCTAATACACGTCTTTTCCTAGTTGATATCGTTGAAAAACTTTGGAAAATAAGGCAAATACGTCATTATGAGAGAAACCGTTTTGAATTGTTTTTTCAAAACCATTTGTTGTTACTAGTAGTCACTAGCACTGATTCGAAATTATTCTGTAAATTTACAAGATTATGGTTGTAATAATGCAGGGCGTTGATGTTACTTGATTTAAGCGAATAAGTACATATTTGTTTTTTTTTCGCAATAGTCAAATGATGATCTCGAACGGGCAGAGAGAAGAAAATCTAGGGCTCTTAGGAAATCAATTGTATCCTTACCACATTCTACCGAAGCGAATGCTAATAGGCAATCAGGTGTGACTGCTTCTGAGTCACCAGCTCTTAACGACTCGGTAATGCGTCTCAGTGACGCGGACTTAAAGACTCAATTGAACACATTCTGCAAACTAAGTGCTGAAAATGTAAGTAATACCAATTATGCCATTATTAAAGAAAAACTGATTGAAAAGGGACTAAAATATGGTTTGTAGAAAATCAGCACTAAGAATGCGTGGCATATTCGAGTAATTGATGTGCTTAAACAAATTGTTAGCAAAGACAATACAGACGTGCTCAAAGTGGCGGGGACGTCTCTGATAGTCGCGGCCAAAGTATATGGTTTAAGAGTGGATGATTTACATGCCGAGAGCCTAAAGCTCGCCGCTAGCTTGGGCAGAAATTTTGCCAACAGAGATAAAGACGATGATGGTAAATAAACCGATAAAACACTCACCGTTGTTGAATTCATTGATTTTCTGGATTTAAATAGGAAATGACGAGCAAACAAGTCAAACAGCTGAAGAAGGGCAAAAGAAAAAATCAGAGCGGAGGAAAAAGCGTATTCTTCTCCATGATAACAAGAAGCTCACCATTGAACCAGACAGTTCTTCCTTTCTGGGCCCCCTCCCTAAATTAGAATCTAATTTCTTTTCCACCAAAACTGAAAGTGGATTAAGTGCAACCGATAATTTGTCTACAAATAAATGTCGAATGGATCCATCTGGATGTAGATTTTTATTCGGGTAAGTTCCCCTGCTTTTAATTCATTTTTAAGGTAACGTCGAGTTAATATTACTTATAGAACTACCGATAAGGTTTCTCAGTGGACGGCAGGTAGTGACAAATCCGTAAATTTGAATAAGACTATTCCGATTACTTTAAAGCCTATAAAAACCAGCATGTTGTGTGCTCAACTCAAAGATTTCCAAACAGATAATTGGAATCCCAACCAGGAGTACGATGAGTAAGCAAATAGATTGACAATTTCTAAATATTTTCTTGTTCATTGAAAAATATTCCTATCAGGTCCTATAAGATTAGAACAGAGTTAGAAGATGTCGTTCAAGATGAAAATGGTTTTCCGATTGCAGAAATAGACGGATCTTTGCATGATGTTTTCAATGAGCCCGATAATCAAGACGGTAAATTCACATAATCCTCCGTTAGTGCTTTGTTTACGTCTTTCTGCTTTTGTAGCTGATGGTTCAGTGGTAGAAGAAAACGCTGTCGGGCTTATTCGTCAAGATTTAGAGTACATTGTCAATTTCGTTCCCACTGAGAGCCATCTGAGTAGCAGAGCAGATACGTCCCTATTTTCATTTAATGATGTCATAGATACCCGATTTGGAAAAATTGAGAAAATGTGGGCTGGTCCGAGCCATTGGAAATTGAAGTTGCTCAAACCAAGAACTTCGGCGTATTCAGGTGAAGCTAATTTAAACATTCTCGATTTCTTTACTTACTCTCGTGATCTTTCAAGTAGCAGTGCTTTAGTCAACTTGCGTTCGATTTTTTCGTAAATCCTCAAAATGCTTCAAAATCAGTTTCATTTTTAATGACAAGGGAACGATTTTGAACGGTCACAATCTTTAACCGAGGATTTATTGCTTAAGTGATAAATTCATCGAGCCCAGCAAAAGACGCACTAGACCTTCTTGATCCGAAATTTCGGAAAGTTGCACCCATTTTAAACGGTTTTTGGTGGTGTTGGATTTAACCGACAATATCTGACATATTATCTGCTCAAACACGCATATGAATCTGAAGGGGCTTTTTGGGTCGAAAACTATATCGAGCTCCAAAATATGAAAGTAACAAGAAAAAAATTGAATAAAAACAACAAAAATAAGTATGCTAAATATTATTTACAGACAGTATTTCCTGGAAGTAGTTTTTATAATTGAATTATTACCATATGTTTATTGTTGAATTAGGAAAAGACGAGAACGTGCAGAAAGTGCCCCTGAGGAAAAAATCAAATAAAAAGTGCGAGCCTGAGTACATTGATATGTGGAAAATATATCAAGAAGAGCTAAACAGAACAGAAGATGTTCCAGAAAATCATAAAAAGTTCAGCTGTAAAAAATTTAGCGTGTCAGACCAAAATAAGTACATACAGCTTGGTTGAGATCGGATAGTTTTCTTCAGATTAATTTTATTTCAGAGTTAACCTGCCACTGCAAGATAGATTATGCAGAGATATCATCGAGAACATCGACTACTTAATGACTGTTCCCACTAAACGAATTGTAAAGAAAAAGCCAGACGCAGTGGAGTGTTCTGTGACAGGTTATAATTATGATAATCCAAATGATAGCAATTACTGTCCACAACCAAATGTAAGGGTTTGCTCTTGAAATCACCAACATTTACATTAGCTTTTGAGTTGAATGTTTTCTTCTTCCAGGCAGATGATGATAATGGCGCTGATTGCCTTGAAAGGAGCGGTAGAAGTTCAAGTCCACAAGCTTTTACTGGAGATAATCTTGTAGAAGCGCCCGAAATGGTAGGCCAAAAGAATAATAAGATAAAAAATCTGGTTCGTCTGCTAATAAGAGTCAAAGTTTTTCAAAAAAATTACTTTGGTGTTAACGTTTGAAATTGTTAAATACTAAGGAAAAATAAATGTTCTTTTGCCCAAAAACTATGAATGCTACAATATTTTACATTTTTTTACAAACTTCTTTTTGGGTATTTCGCCTCAAAAATTTTTGTCTTTAAAAACAGACAGAATTTCCTCACGTCTTTTAAAATTTTTTTTTTTGGAAATTCTTGAGGCGAAATACCCAAAAAGAAGTTTGTAAAAAAATGAATCCGCCTCAACAATATAGAACTTATCTACAAGATTTTACATACAGCACAAAATTGTTAAAAAGGATTAGTGCATCAAAAAATTAAAAGAATTGGTAGTTTTTGTACCAAGACCAGAGTTTACCACTTACCTAAAGCGGACGAACTCGATTGCTTTAACAAATTATGAGTTTAACATAGGAACAAATTCACAGCAAATTTATTGTGTCATTCTCCCAACTTAAAAAAAAAACACATTTTTTTTAAAGAACTTTAAATGAAAATTGCAAACGAGCCAGACCTTTTTTTAGGTCAGTTTGTCATTTTTTGAGCCAAATAATTTAGCAGTATCTTTTTGTGCCATGTGCTCACGGGATACCTTGTATGTGACCATCCATTATATTTAAAAAAAATTTGCATTGCAGGTTGAACAAATTTTTACGAAATACGCCACTAAAGCAAAGAAAATGAACATGGCAAAATTGAAAGAGTTCACCTGGTGTATTCTAACAGGAAAGGAGATATTTGTAAGTAGTTTTTCGATTTGTAAAAAAATTGACTCATGCTGAAATTTGCATAATATAACTTTTGATTTTGCCAAATTAGGCAAATAAATATTTATCAATCGACACGAATCTAAGAGCTCAAAACACATTTGTGGGTTTGGCAATTTTTCAGTTACAACGCATACGAAGTGGATTATCATTAAATCCGCGAATTGTCCCGGCATCTGCCTCTGTAATGAATATTCATTCTAAAATGTATTTAGCTTTATAAAGCTTTATTCAGTACTTATAAGTACTGAAACTGTCGTTTGCTTACGCTTACGTAATATTCTATTATTTGCAGAATCCATCAGCAAAAGTGGTACCTATCCACTTCTCAAAAATGTACAGCGATTTACCGAAGATACTTCCAGAAAATATGGCAAACGAGTTGAGTTGCCATTTGTCGTTTGTCGCATTACTCCATTTGTGTAATGAACATAATCTTGAATTAAGAAAACAAAATGATATTTCGGATTTTGAAATATTAGGCCCTTGATCACTTCGGCAAAGCGTGTACTTGCCTTTCTAAAATTAACGAATTTATTCGAAATAAACGGCTTAAAATGAGAAAAATAAGTTGTTTTCTAAAAAGGTAAAATAGTTCTGTGTTTTATTATGTTTATGTAGGATTTTTTGTCATAATAAACAAATTTCTGGAAATTACCGATGGAAGGAAAGTTTATAATATTTGTATGTAATTTTTTTTCCACCAATTGGTGAGTGCTCGAATCATTAAGTTGAGTGAGATTCATTAAGTTTGAATTTCAAAAATACGTTAATATTCTATGTAAAAAATTATTTGTTTCAAATTGAAAATTTTTAAAAAGTTCGAAAAAGTCGTGTAATAAATAAACAATCAATTTATATTTTTGATACTTCTAATACATGTGTTAATTGTACATTGGACGTTTATTTATAAATATATTGAGATTTTTATTTTACTTTGAGACTCGGTCGATCTAACTCATGTGTTAACTTTGTTAACAAATTTCCAGGAAAATATGAGAAGCATATTGTAGCTGAAATTGACGAGTTTCTTTTCCCATCGCTACTGGCTTATAGCAGTGCATTTGGTGATGTTTCCATAAACACACATAATTGATCGCCGTTACAAGATGCTGTAAAGTAAATTTAAATCTCCCGCTAAACAGTCGGTAAATGTTCCGTTTGATTCAACAATAAAAGTAGATTGCTACTTTATCCGGTCGCCGGCTGTTCAAATAGATAGGTTAAGTTATATTACATTTCAAATTGTTCAACTTCCGTAACATAACTCAGAAAAACTTCAAATTTTTGTTAAATAATGACCCCATATGCGTGTCCCAGGCTGCTCTGTTCTCATGTCGGCTTTAAATGTCTCATAATTGCTCGCGGAATTAGCAAATACATTCACAGAGACATTTCAGCGAAATCTATTCGGCAAAATTTTCTCAATTACTTTATAGAGAAAAATGAACATAATTTCGTCAGGTCCAGTCCAGTTGTGCCGTTTTGTGACCCCACGGTGCCCTTCGTCAATGCCGGAATGAATCAGGTAAAATCACATTTTTACTCAAAATTTATGTAGTAGGCAATTAAAACTGGTAAACAAACGTTTTTTATGTGCATATTGGCGTTTGAACAACAGTTTCATAAATGTTGCACAATGAAAATTTGATAAAACTCGTGGAATTATTCGGGCAACTTATTAATGTTGTTGATTTCTAATGCTTTCAGTTTCAATTTGAATGTTTTAAGTACCTATACTACTTTATTTATTACTAATACTATTCTGTTTTAATATTTCTCGCGTAGGAAATGCAAGCTTTAGTTTAACCTCCGTTTGTTGCTAATCTTTTCTGCTCAATAACATGGAAGAAGGCGTTCTAAATCATCTTTGAAACCCCCAATAGCCAAAATCAAGTACTTTAGTCGGCATTCATTGAAATGTTAAAAAGAACATTTTTTCGTAAAAAGCTTCATGATTTTCTCCCGAGCTTATAAAAAAAGTGCAATTGGTCTCAGTTTATGAAAACTGCGCAATATAAATCATTATTAATTACCTCATTTCGTGGTCGTTGGTGAAAATTTAGGGCCTCAATTGTAAATCCCCCGAACTTCTTCTCAACATGTTACGCACAATAAATCATTTAGTAAAATGGTAATTATTTAGTCGTACTGTTTCAGTCAATGTGCGGTTTTACTAATTTTTCCTTCCAAATATCCGATGTTTCTTATTGCCATATATTCTAGCTCTTATAGCTCAGACAATTTATTTGCAGTTTAAGGGCATTTTCCTGGGCACGCAAACACCACATTTCACCAAAGTAACCAACAGCCAAAAGTGCGTAAGAGTTGGTGGCAAACACAATGATATAAATATAGTGGGAAAGGATGGATACCATCATACGTTTTTCGAAATGTTGGGCAACTGGTCGTTTGGCGAGTATTTTAAAGTGAGTTCAGCTTTACTTGGTTCCATCGCTCGTTATTGAAGAATAAACATGTTATTATAGGAGGAGGCCTGTAAAATGGCATGGGAATTATTAACACAAGTTTATAAAATTCATCCTTCCAGATTGTATGTCACGTATTTCGCGGGCGATGAATCATTAGGACTATCGAAGGATGCGGAAACTTATAATATCTGGAAATCCCTTGGGTAGTCGTTTGGGCATAAATACATGATTTAATCCTAATGTTGGCTAATTGTAGAATAAAGAATGATAGAATATTGCCGTTTGGTGCTAAGGATAATTTCTGGGAAATGGGAGTCACTGGGCCATGTGGGCCGTGCACAGAAATCCACTTCGATCACACGGGAAGTGCGAATCGAGCGGAATTTGTAAATAAAGACCTTCACGATCTTACAGAAATTTGGAATTTAGTTTTCATTCAGTACAATAGGTAATTAATTCATCCAATAGCAATAACTCATGCATTTTTGGCACTTGTTCATTTGGTAGACAGTCGGATGGTTCTCTCTTGTCCCTGCCTAAGAAGCATGTTGATACAGGCATGGGCTTGGAAAGACTGTGCTGCGCTTTACAAGGAAAATCCAGCACTTATGACACCGATCTTTTTGAGTACTTGATAAATGCAATTCAAAAGGTATTTAATAACAATCATTTTTGCTGGAAGTTCATGGGTTTTTAGTCAATCAACAATTTCTTAATGTGTTATGCATAATTTCTATAAACTCATAGATATTAATCCAGACATTTTAAACACTTTGAATCAGAATTGCAGCAACGTGCAAAAGTATTCGAGAAAATTCGGAGAGCAGGACTGGAACCATATCGACACCTCCTACAGAATATTGTCTGACCATTTACGAATGCTTACCGTTTGTTTGGCTGATGGAGTAATTCCTGAGCAAAAGTAAGCACACCAGCGGACAATGATTCAATTATCTGAAACCGCACTGTGTTTCAGTCAGAAACTGAGACGAGTCATCAGGAAATGTTTCGTTCTAAGCGAAACTGTATTTGGGAAAGATAAAGGCTTAGTGAGAGAGCTATCAAATTACGTGGTTGAAAACCTAGGAGATGTATATACAGAACTAGAAAAAAACGTTAAACTGGTATATATGAAAGGTATTTCTCTTGTGGTGTTTTATAGGGTTTTTTAAATTCAATTCCAGATCCATCAGATACTGGACTACGAAGAGGAAATATACAAGTCAATAAGAACAGCAGCCAGAAAGGAGTGGGATAAGCTTGATATAGATAAAAATCTGGCCAACTTGGACAAGGTAGATATCACCCCGAGTTTCATAAAAGCATACAAAGAACTGTACGTCCAAAAGCCGACTGAAATCGACGGAGTGTTGGCCCATAGACTTTATGATACTCACGGGTTTGATGTGGAGGCAATCCAACAACTGGCGGAAGTTTTGAGTATAAAATTTCTGCCCATTAGTTTTGAGAAGAAAATGGAGGAGATTAAGCAAAAATCCAAATCGAACAGGCAGCTTTCGATTGACAAGTTACTCAGTGCTTTAACGGCGACTGATCTGAAAAAGACTGACGATTCCGGAAAGTATATTTATAACAAAAAGGGCACTCAGTATGATTTCCCAGAAATCCAATCTACAATTCTTCAAATCGTAGACCACAATAGTTTCATATCACAAGTCAAAGATGGACAGTCATGTGGTTTGATTCTCGATAAGACAAACTTCTACTGTGAAGCTGGCGGGCAGGAATGTGATAAAGGCCAGATACATTTTCATGGAGCAAAATTTCAAGTTGAGACTGTTTCCAAATTAAACGACGTTATTGTCCATAGAGGATATTTGAAGGGCGATGCCATCAAAGTTGGAGCTCAGGGCAGAATATCGGTTGATAGAGAATATCGATTGAGGACGATGCAAAATCATACATGTGCCCATCTCTTGAACGCAGCAATCAAGCAAATCAAGTCAGCTACGTGCCAAAAATCAAGCAAAGTGACCAATCAGTATGTTAATTTGGACGTGTCTGTCTTCGGGCCCAAATTCAATATCAAAGATGTCATTCGAGCGGAAGAAATCATCAGCAAAGTGATTCAAGATCAGCTCAACGTTAGAATCAGTACTACGGATAGTCAAGGATTGTATAGTTATGACCAAATTACTTTGATACCTGGGGAAGTTTATCCAGATAACGATATCAGAATTGTGGAAATTCAAAATGAGTCTGACTTTATTTCAAGGTACGTGAAAACGGAGTAAAGTAAGTTTAATTGGGAAATGTACAAGAGTGCTTCTTAAGAATGTATATTCTGAGGAAGTGTGTAATGAAACAATTTAGTCTTAAAGTTTTCATTAATCGAACAAATTCAAAATGAGCCCAAAATTGTACTGATTGGAACCTGCGCCTTCAAATATCAATCCGGTTCCCCCGACATTGATGCGGATTTGAAGAAAAATTAAAAATTCACACACCGTGTGCTAATAAATATTGTTAATGCTCTTTGGTATGTTCGGAACCGAGATTTTCATCGTGTTACGCACTATTAAAGAAAAACAGACTGAAGCAATGAAGGGAAACTCGGTAGGTATCCGAATATGCTGCTTCAATTCAGAAAACTACAACTCAGTAAAACGTCTAAAACATTTTGCGCTTCTTCATTCCGCAAATATCAGCAACATTTGGAGTTTTTTAATTTATAGAAAAGCAAAATCTTCAGTTATTAAAATAATATAGTTATTTTAGGGAACCGTGTTGTGGAACTCACGTACTAAACACCGCAGACTTAGAAGATTTTTGCATAGTTAGCGTAAAATCGCTGGGCAGGAGCTCATCGTCCTTACATGGGGTCACCGGTGAAAGAGCGAAATTAGCCAGAAGAAATGCCGCCGATCTTGCTGAAGATATCGGTGTCTTCAAAAAATCGCTAGCTGCGCATCTAGATACGGTATGTAAGAATTCATTTGGCTACTGCTTATTGTGATCAGTTTATTTCAGCCCGATATGCTGGACATGGGCGTATTATCGCTGAAACAACGGCTTAACTTTGATGTAACGGATGATTTTATATTGCCATATGTTTATAAGCAGGAAGCTTTGGAAGAACTCAATGCAATCAGCAGACAGATTAAAGAGAAAAGCAATGAAGATTTAAGGTAAGTTTGAGAGAAAACAATCAACTGATTTTTGGAAGTGTTCGTGTCGCTTGTTACTTTATGAGGATTCAAATCCAAAAATACTTATTTGTCGCTTAATAATCAAGCTCGTTATACGTTTCTTTTAAATTTATAATAACTCGTTTTGTATTTTTTTAGGAATTTCGTGGACATGGAAATGCATGACGCTTTAGAACGAAAAGTTGAAGTAACAGCATCCGACCGAAAATTTATAGTGCACTATTTGAGAAGCTCCATGATGTTCGAATCGGTTCCACTACAAAGAGCTACGGCGATGTGCTCGGATATGCCGGTTATCGTTATAGCGTATTCCGATAGCATGGTTAAAGCGAGATGTTGCGTTCCTCAGGTAAGCTGGATTTCAATAGTTTGAATTTGGTAAATTGAAGCTGTTTCAAGGCGTTGCAAACGCAAGACTTTGATGCAGAAAAGTGGCTGAAGCAGTCCGTAGCTTCAGTTTTTGAGGGCCAAATTTCGCCCCAAAAATCGCAAAATGGGATTCTGATTTGCAATATGAAAGCGAAAAAAATTCACGTCCAAGACTGGCATCACTTGCTGGCTGAAAGTGTTAATATTGCCAAAAATTACATCAATAGCAAGTTGTAAATGGATCTGTGTTTAAATAAAGGAAATGATCTAATATGAATAATTTTCAACCGGCTTTGCTTCGATGGTTCCGTGATCCATAAACTGTATCTGGATCACCGAACTTTTAAAACAATATACTTAGTATATGTATCGTATTTTTATTTATAAATACAATATTAACAAGCTTAACACTTATGAGACATCTATTTCACAATAGCCACAATGTTTAACAATACGAGTAATACTTAACAATGATTACAAATGATTTATTGTATTTTTTTGGGGACTACAGAATTTCCACTCATTTGTTGGAAGGTTTAATTGACATAATCGTTAAGCATTTTTTAGATCTAATTTTTTTTGCCACAGAAATGTTTGCTGTCGACTTTGCCCACTTTGCAGTTGTTTGTGTAATAGTTATAAAAATTGTTGTCAGTAAGACTAAGCCAAAGAGGCCTTTGAATATATAAGCTTTGACCTAATACTAGTGCATTGATTGATACGTTTGATTTTAAGCAGTTCATCAGCTTTGTACACACTAAATTGTATAAGTGCATATGTAAATGTTGTGCTACTTAAAGAAAGCTTACATTCAAGGTAGAAATAGAAAGCTCTTCAGTCTACGTTCCACTAAAATATAAATGTCCTTAAACTGGATAAATAGCAGCTTAATTCAGTTAAGTAAATGAGTGGAAATTGCGATTAAAAATTCTAAAAAGTAAAAAAAACAATATCAAAAAATACTTTTGCAGTCTTATAAGTAATACTATATTAAGATACGTAGCTGAACAATGTTAAAATATTTCTTGGACGAATATCACACAGGCAAATAAAAATGGGTGGCAATCTAATGGATGTTTTGTTTATAAAGCTCGAATTTTACTTTAATTCTATAAAGCACTATCAATAGAACAATGGCGCATAAAAATACATTTCGTTTTGTTAATTTGCAACTTTCAAGTTGAGACTTGAAAATAAGTTTGGGTTTTTTGTTCTTTTCAGTGTCGCCTAAAAACTTCCAGTGTTGATTTATCTGAGGAAAAGTGTCTTACTTTTCCCCAAATAAATCTAAACCTGAATACCAACCTACATCTCAGTTAGAACTCATGACCCTTTATTCTCTACATATTGCTTTGTCTAAACTACTCCAATTAGTCTTATGATTACTGTGATTTTAAAGTACACGCTAGTATTATAAAAAATAATTTAAAACAATCTTATGGAACTATCAACATCGTTTTATATTCTGCTTATTCGTACGTATATTGCGCTCGTAACAAATGTGTTTCATCAGAACACCATTACATGTTTTCTAGGCTTCAACCAGTAAGACATTACTAAAATAAAAATAAATATATTTTGAAAAACTTCTAATTCAACAGTTCAATTGCAAAATTTTTATCAAATGAACACCTTTCTAGATTTTTTTTAGATATTTTTTGATTTTACCGATAATATTGCCAATACAACTAAACTAGAGAGAGAAGGTATAACAAGTTTTTTATTTTTAAAATTTGAAAGTGAAAATTATGGACAGACGAAAATAGTCTTTAAACCCACCTATTTCACATGTCTTCTCAACAATATATATTTTCTTTGCGTGGTACTTGCAGGGTTTGTACCTTATAATTAAAGCAGACTGCTACATCTATACAAATCAGACTCAATAACGCCTATTTAAAATTTCACAATGAAAATACTTGTCGCATAGAGCTACAAAGTGCCGTGTTGGCCATTTGGCTTGGACTGCACACTCCTTCTCACATCTTCTAACTGAATCAGCTGCACGAATAAAATTATTTATTCAATTATCTGGAATTTGGTTGTGAGTTTTTATTTTACCTTTTCGATGGGAATGCACGACAATTCTCCACCGCCACACTGCGGTGGCGGTAACGGAGTGGAAGGAGTTACCGGAGCCTTTGCGGATTTTTCTTGTGCTTCTCTAGCTCTTCGTTCTTTTAGCTTCAACGAGAAAATTGCCACTGATCTAGCCCTCTTCATTAGACTCTGTTTCACTCGCGTTTTCTTAGCTGCTAATTCTTCAGCAGCTAGAACCGATGTCAGTCTAAGCTTTTTTAAATTTCGTCTTCACATTGTTAATTACCTTTTGCGGCTTCGTCAGCTTCTTGGCTGGAAATGCTTCTGGCACTGTCGCTCAGTGAAGGATCTATGGGAATAATTGGGGCTCGAATTCTGGGTCCTGTATGTTCAGGCGGAGATCGGGGCCTTGGAGGCCATAAGGGGCTAGTTCGATGTAGCTCTGTATCTGAACTTGAGGAATCCTAAAGTAATTCAATTCAGGGTAATGAGAAACTTTAGCAGAGTGTGTAAATTTGGCAAAAATCGGAATTGATTTTTTTCCATGCGGAGTGGCGGAAGATAAGATAAGACTTGTAGAATTGGTTTTTCAGAACGGACCGTTGGATTCATTTGCATTGAATAAGTTTGGTCGGAAATTCAAGCCAGTTGATCGGGAGAGTAAACATGAATTACATAATTCATTTGGTTGAATATATTCACGTTTTCACATATGTGCGTTTAAATCGACATTAGAGTCAAATCGAGCAAATATTTGTTCTTCGACTGTCCAGCTCATTATTCCAAAGGCGATTTTGGATTTTAACCTTTTTCGGCACCGTTCCATTTGAAAAATCAACTTTTTATTACAATGTTTTAGGACGCTATGTATAAAACTCTTTTTAAATGTACAAAGGTACATTTAAGCACACACACATACAGTTTTTTAGTTCTTCAATGATCAGATATACACATATATACGGAATATACATATCTAAAATGTAGGAATGATGCACAAAAATTGAATTATAAATTTTTTTCTGGTCTATTGCTATTTCTACCCGACGTTTCACCCCCGAATAATCCTTAATAATGCCCGCCACAGATGTAAGCGAAAACTCTTGTAGAAATAGACATAAACCATGATATTTCCTGAGTTTTTCACAACAATTTAAACATCCGCAAAGCATAGATATACCGAATCAGAGTGAAAGACATGATGATAAACATCCACAAGAAAGCAAATATGTGCGAAGTTTTGCATAAGAAATATAAAAAGTTTTAGAAAAGCATTGGAATTGAGATATCAGAGTGACACGAGAAAATAATTACTACCTTATTCGGAACGTCCATTATTCTATTTAGAATCTGTGTCGTAAGCATGGACGATCAGAAATAGATAAGTTAAAAACTTGTATTATTTGCGTCAATTTATCGTATTTCGTAGCTTCAGTATGTAATATTGAATACCTTAGGCGATATGCAGTCAGTGCTTCGATGAATGTCGGTTTCCTCTTTCAATTTGCGCGCCCATTCAACTCCTCCGCTGGGCCCTATGGTGAGATGATGGCTTGGTTCACCCTAAAATAAAAAAATATGTATTATTCAAATAATGTTCTAAAATTAACCAACACTCACTACCACTTCTGGTGGAGCCCATTCTTTGGATTTTCTGGGCCTAAACGGTGGGATTTGTTGAATGCTATCCGCAGTAATGCCTAGGGGAGTTCTATGCAGGGATGTGATGGAACTTTGCGAATTTGTGGGCGTGCTTGGAGATGGCATGGGCGATACGTGAGATGATATGCTTTTTTTTGCTTCCGTTGCGTCCGGGCAGATTTTTTCTGCAGATTTTTTAAACTGCGTTGAGTGCACGAGGTTGTGGCTCGGAGATACGGAAAATCTATGAATAAGTTAAAATCAAAGTCCTATCGATAATCGATTCAACTTGGGTACCTTCCAATAGTTTTCGATTGTACTTCTTCTGGAGAAGGAGTTGCTGTATTGCCGACTCGGATGGAATTTCTTCGCGCCCATTCGATTTTTGCCATTTCAGTGGCCAACCATCCGGGAATATCAGGAATCGCGCATGTTATAATGAATCGTATGATGAACATAATGTGCTGAAAATGTATTTGTGTTACCGTTTACAACTACCGTAACAATCATTATAATACGTAGAGGACGTAACTAGAAATGCTGATAAAATTCATTTTGTTTGTCGCCAGTTACATATTTTAGTATTGTTCGATAAGCCATTTAATTAAACTTACTTCAGTCCATTATTCAATTTAACTTTTCATTTCATTGAGAATACTGGTTTTGAGTAGAACATTTTGGAAACTAGACTTATGACCACAAAAATGGTAATCTGGGTAGCTCTCGATTAAATTCCTGCGTCGTAATAAAATAAATAAAACTAAATAATTTTCGTTGATTTGCCCACTTGCGTGTATTATTTTTTTCATCAATAGAAACATGGATTTATTATTAGTTAAGTTTTATTGCCCATTTATAAAATCCTGCTAGTTCTGTATGAATGCTCTAAAAGTTTTGCGCTTATAGCCTGCTCTTTCTAGTGGCGCGATTATTTAACAGCCAAATTTACGTCTGAAAATATATTATTTTTGGAAAACTAGTTTGAATGACTGATGTTTACAAATATATACATTATATACATTATATACAATATAAACATTATTTTTATTCTGGAGATGGGACTTTTGAGCCATTTGGCATTCAAATTAACTTTAGCGTAAGATGAATTTAGTAAAATTTACTTGTTTTTACTCTAGAAAAATGTAGCGAGAAAATGAGTAAAGAGCGTCAAGAGGCACCCAGTGTTGACTTAAAAAATTGCATAAAAAATCGTCTGAAACAGCAGTACGCGATTACAACAAGCCCAAACAAACAAGTCGAGGTGGACGGATACAAATTATTTCTTATAGAAGATAAACTAATTTGCTTTTGGAAAATTTGCTTATTTTTTTCACACAAATCTGTAAGTAAATCTTTAAGAGCCTTCCTGTGATAGAAGTTCCACACTTTAATGAAAATATCATCTGGAACAGCAGTAAAACTAGCAAATAAATAAATGTAAAATAAACAATACGATGAATTATTTATGTTGAAATCGCCAGTTTCTATACTACGCTATAGGGAAATAAGAGTTTTAAGAAATCCAATGGTTTATAAACAAAATTAAATTAGCACGCCACTTCGAGTCACCATAACTTAACTTTTAAGTTTCTTCTTACCTCTAATGCCACGATTAGTAGAATGGTTTGAGTTGCCGTCATATCGGGGAACATTCGGTGTACTTGGCCAGATAAACCTATAAGAGCGCAATTTACCAAGACGGCCATAGTGCTCATATATTCCATACAGTTCTAGAAAACGCGAGAAAAACAATTTCAATATTATTCAACTGGGCATTATTTTACTATATTTTGCAATTGCCTAAACCGAACATTCTTGGATTTTTGCAATATTTAATAGTCATCATCCAATTGCTCTTATAGTAAACATAGTCCCTTCGTATTTTAGAAAAGCGAAAATTTAAATGGTCAATTAATGTGAAAATTGTGAAATCCTCCAAGTTCTTACCTGCCATGTTCCAATATTAGGAACCCTTTGCCCGAAAGGCCTTTGGCACACATAACCGAGCCTAAAAGCATCGCTTCGAATTTCCACCAAGTTATTTAACATTGCACAAATAGCAGCCGGAGGAAAAGCTGATGAAAACAGTATTACATACCCCAATTGAATGGTCATTTCAAGATAATCTGCGAAAGTTCCATCGTACTTTGAAAAAATAATAATTAGAATATTTGATTGATAATAATTGAATTTAACATACTTTATATAAAGAACTTTCTAGTTCTGCTTGGCTCATGCTCCTTTTGGCCACTGGCGGACTATCGGTATTCTTTTCTTCGGTTGGTGTTTCGGTATGCTCTTCAGCCACACCTAGAAGATGTATTACCAAAATTAAATTATGCGCTCATTTGCTTACAACATAGCTTCAGTGTTTTATAAATTTATTCATTCCTTTATAATTATTATTTAGTTAACTATGTAAACTTAGTTAATTCCCGATCGGCGATTTTGGGGTTTGAAGGACGTATCTGAACAAACAAATTTGAAATTAAATAGATACCAATATTGAAATTAAATTTATTTTGTATTTTAAACGTTTATGCATAGTGAAAATACAAAACAGCTTCTATATTATTTCATAGATCTTCAGATAAAATTGGGTTAATGTATTTCTTCTAGACCTAATAATTTCTTCGAATGTAAAAACATATTTACACATATATTTTTAGTGGTTATACTAACGTTCTTTAGGATTCTTTGCATTTTTAACGCAAATTCCTCTAGCCAGGTATGTTTTCTTTATTTTAAACTATGGGTGTTTCTAATTTATTAATTTTAACTAAAATTTTGGAAATACAGATTACCTTCCATCAATTCTTTAGAACCTTCTAAAGTCGATGAAAAAATAGCAGTATGTGTCTACTAAGGCATCAATTTTTTAAGTTAAAATAACATTTTGGCTAAAATAATCTATTAAGATAAAAAAACAGGGGAAGCCCTGCAAAGATATATTCTTATCACGCCGAAATTTGCAAATATCTATTTAGATAAGACACTTATTTATACCATTCAAGCCGTTCAATTATCTGTAAATGTAATCACTATAGCAGTTAGTGCTAGATATCCGTACATAGTTCTTCAAAATGAAATTCCCTGGTAAGTCCAGTTGCAATTTTTTTATTTGAATTGTTTATCACCATTTTGGGAACACTTTTCATTGATTGCAACTTGAACAATCTGAAAAATTGGAAATGTGAATTGTTGCTTACCTTCGCCAGGCGGTGGTTTTGTGTTCAAAGGACTTAAAGCGCCCCACATTTCAAAGCTCATTTTGGCCAATCTCAAGTGCACAAGCACATAAGGTAGTGCGGATTCTTTTAAATTTCCTAGCACTTGCCTGGAAATTAGTAACGCGGCTAATTGCTACAAACAAAAACAATTATCATTTACCTATAATTTTTGCAAATAGCAACGACGTACTCATAAATACTCATATTTTTCAAGTGGATTGTGCACTTTTTGTGACTACATGCAATTTTATATTTATAACCATGGTCATAAATTGTAGTTGGTGATTAAAACTTAAAAAATTCCCGGAAAGCAATTTGAACTATTTTAACTGATTGTTACTTACTTCCTTGAGCCGTTCTTGATCCTGTAGATAAAATGCAATATAAAATAAAGACAGGAAAGAGTTGACGAACTGGAACTGAAAAGAAATTATTAGTTGAAACACTCATAAATGGAATAATATTTTGAAAAACCACCAAATATTCTATATATCTACAAACTACAATAATAAAATCTACATGTTACAGAAAACACAGCAATTTATTTTAGTTAATAGATTATGAAAGGGATTTTAGGTGATATAAGATAATGCTTAAACATCCGAAAGCTTCGTTCTTCCGGATTAATCAAAGTGTTTGTCAGAAGTAAATTTTCCTACTCATAAGAGCACTACTGAATAGAATAAACCAAAAAACACCATTTTAAAAGCAAGATAGATTAAGAGTTTTTTAGTACCCAAAGTCTTAGACTCGATAGAAAATTGAAAAATATTCTGTTTTGCTTCAAAAAAACCAACGGTTTTTGTATAAATTAATATATTTTTTAGTTCTAACTTAATAATTTTTACGGAGAGTCAATGCTTTGTTCTTGTTTTTTTTCTTAATGTAAATTAATTTATGTTAAGTAATACACTTAACACCGCTTTTACACCAATTAATTATGTTGAAAGTAACAAAAATGCAACTTAAACGATTTCGATGAACTTGAGTTTCCTTAGGAGGAAGGATATTATTTAAAAAGCCAGCTGAAATGCACAACTTTTTGTGTTTTTAAGGTAAAATATTGGGATTTGCTATGACAAATTATTTCTCAAACCGCTGTGTTTTCTTTGAAGTTTAGGCAACAAGCATAAAACGTTCTACGTATATACAAACCAGGGCAACTTTGCCGATTAGGTGATTTTCGTATTTCGTTTCTAGTCGATAATTCTCTGAGCAGCATTGCAAGAAAAGAACCCAAAATTAACACCAACTATTCTACCCTAAATAAGAATCTAGTTATCGATCAAATCACTAATTAGAATTAATCAAATTGAAACTAGAAAAATTTGAAAACTATTTTAAGGTTCAGGTATTTTCAAATACGGTTTTAGATTACGAAACTACCAGTATATCCACATAGAGTGTCGATCGAACTGTTCTAGATATAGTACATATAATAGATGCAAAATTATAATATTTAAATGCAGCATTCTTTGGCTCAAACAAATACCATTTGACGTAATTTTTATTAAAAAAATATGTCCGGTTCTCCTCTGCTATTGAAGTTCTGCAAGAAAATTATGTTTTTCGAAATATCGGGAGAATGATACTGTAGAATTAATTAAGATTTTAAGATTAAGATAATTAAGAATTAATACTCATATTTTGATGAAGCCAGTGAGTTCATCCGCTTTGGCCAAGTGGAAAAATCTTGAGTGTCTTGGTGCAAAAACTACTATAACTTTTTGGTAACTAGAATGAATTCATTTTTTTTTGGGATGATGCTCTAATCGTTTTTTTTTGACAATTTTGTGCTCTTTGTAAAATCTTGTAGCAGTCGACGTTTTTGCGTAGAAAAATTTGGTTGATTGCAGGCACCAAATAAACAGTTCTGATAGCTCTTGTCCCAAAACACTTAATATCAAGAAGTCACCACTTTTTTAAAGTGGATGAACGCGGTTTTTGAGTTTCACATAAGAACAAATTTACAGCAAGTTTCATTAAAATCCTTCGTATCATCCCGATATTTAAAACCCCGTTAAAGCGTTTTCAAATTGAATTCTCGCAGCAATGATGAGTTTCACCGCAAAACTGCTCAACTTCACTCGATAACATTTCACAACATCAGTTTTCATTGCTTTCAAGAATTTCTGAAATTTATATTGAAGCTGGATCTTACAGGAAGATTACGATTGAAACGTTGATAAAACCCGTGACCGCCTTTCAACAATCTCTTACTTGAATCGAAATTCTTTCGGAGGTTTAAAATCACAGAAAATATGTGCCATTGAAAAATCAACTGCTTGTGTTTCCATATGGAAATTTTTAAGAATCTCCACAATGCAAGAGCAACTGCACAACTCTTTGCACATTTGCCCTTGTTATACATTTCACATAAATAATCGCAGATCAGGCCTACCTTCACTATGTGGATATAATGAAAATGGCAAAAATAGAGAGATAGATTAAGTAAGGCGGCTACTAAACATATTGACAATACCTAGACCTGCTTACCTTTGTCGTTCAGCCAGATGGCGATTTTAAAGTATGCCTCGTCCATCAACCAAATTACCACAGCTAGCATAACCTTCGGGATATATCCCAGCCAAAGAGGAAACCCTCGATTAGCCAAAAATGCATCCCACCAATCCTGCAAAATATCGAGTAAAATTGTCCGGACAATTGGTAAGCCAAAGTGCGCTCCCACCTGAATTTGTAACGAAACAATCATGACAAGAAACACCGTGAGGAGGGAGACGATGATTACTGGCACGGAAACGCAATAACGGAAAATGTGCCTCCTCCATACCGGATGGTAAGGTTCGAGCCTCCCTGTTACAGGACTGGGCCTTAGTGGACCCTGATGACAAATAATAACATGCCGCGGTAGCTGTACAACGACATGTTAAAAGGCACTACATGAAATTGCTACTATAAAAAGCTGAAAATAAATTAGATGTTGCCCCTAAGGGGCTGTAAACGAAGTGCACCTAGAAGCCATTTTCAGTTTCTAATTTTGAGTTATACGCCGCGTAATTGAGCAACTTGGAATCGAGTGAAACGCTTCTATGCTCAAAAATGTTATGTAAAAAGCCAAATGGAACTGCTAAAAAATATAGTGTTGGCACTAGTATGCTCGTGTCTCCTATTTTTCCCAATCTTTCCCAAAAACTTAACCTGGACTCTTGATTTTTGTGCTCATTCGTGGTCAGCAGGCAGGCAAATCTCAAAATTGAATGCACAAAAAAGGAACAGCCTTGAATGCACAAAACAATAATCATTTGCATCATTTATACAGGCAGATTGAAACGAATTTTTACAAGCTTTAGAAGGTGATTCATTATTTTCAGATAGAAAGTTTTACGATTGAGGGTTCTCAATGTTTCTAGTTTTTTCAAAGTTTCTACTTCTATGGACTGAAAAAAAATTCTGGTCTATCAGTGGTGCTCGTACTGACCTGATGTTAAATATGTTTGAAGAAAAAAATTATGCGCTGCGGATTCATCAAAAAAATAATTTTGCTGTTTCATTACTTGTTCAATTCTAAACGAAAAAGCTCTCTTGAATGTTTTTGTACAAACCGTTCGATTTGTCGGTTGTGGTTCTCCTACCACAAACACATTAGACTTTAATTGATGGCGAAGTTAAGGCGAGCCCTTCGGGTACGACACTGTAGGAAAACAACAACCGATAAATCGCACAGTTTGGAAGGATTTTTGCCCGAAAAGGTCGGCAAAATACTGATTTTTAAGCAAAAAAACCTTTCAAACTGTTCAAACTTCATCGGTTGTTGTTCTTCTACCAGTTTCGCGCTCGAAGAGCTCGGCACAACTTTGGCACCGGTTAAAGCCTAATGTCTTTGTCTAATGTTGTGCGTAGTCCTTCGGGCACGACACTAGTAGGAGAACAACGGACTAATCGAACGATTTGGAAGATTTTTTTAGTAAAAAATCAGTGTCGTGTCCGAATAGCTCAGTAAAGTACTGATTTTTATACAAAACAACTTCTAAAGCGCCTTGTTTCTAGTTTGAGAGTTCAGCACAACTTTGGCTCCAGTTAAAGTCTAATGTTTTTGTTGTGCCGAGCCCTTCGGGCACGACACTGGTAAGAAAACAGCAACCGACTAGTCGGACAGTTTCGGACGTTTTTTTGCAAAAAAAAATCAGTGTTGTGCCCGAAAAGCTCGGCAAGATACTGATTTGTATGCAAGAAACATTTCAAACTGTCCAATTTGCCGATTGTTGTTTCCCTACCAGTGTCGTGCCCGATGGGCTCGGCACAAACGCAATAAACTTTAATCAATGTCAAACTTGTGCCGAGCCCTTCGGGAACGACCCTGGTAGGAAAACAACAACCGACAAGTCGGACAGTTCGTGATGTTTTTTGCAAAAAAAAATCAGTTTTGTTTTTTGTCTTTTTTTGTCTCTCAAAAATCTTCTAAACTGTTCGATTTGTCGGCTGTTGTTCTCCTACCAGTGTCGTGCTCGGAGAGCTCGGCACAACTTTGGCACCGGTTAAAGTCTAACGTCTTTGTTGTTCTGATATCTTCAGGTCCGACACTGCTGGTAAGACAAAAAACCTTCTAAAGCGCCTTATTTGTAGTTTGAGAATTCGGCACAACTTTGGCTCCAGTTAGAGTAATGTCTTTGTTGAAAATGGTAGGAAAACAATAACCGACAAATCGCTCAGTTTGTGAGGTTTTTAGCAGAAAAAATCAGTTTCGTACCGGAAAGCTCCACAAAATACTGATTTTTATGCAAAAAGCCTTCCAAACTGTCCGATTTGTCGTTTGATGTTCTCCTACCAGTGTCGTGTCCAAAGGGCTCGGCACAACAAATACATCAGTGTCGTGCCCGAAGGRCTCGCTACAAAAAAACGCAATAAATAAATTTAATCAATGCCAAGGTTGTGCCGAGCCTTCGGTTACGACACTGGCAGGAAAACAACCACCAACAAATCAGAAAAAAAGTGTCGTGCCCGAAAAGCTTGGCAACGTACTGATTTTTACGCAAAAATCGTTCCAAACTGTCCGATTTGTCGGTTATTGTTCTCCTATCGGTGTCGTACCCGAAGGGATCTTCACAACTTTGACACCAGTTAAAATTTAGTGTCTTTGTTGTGCCGAGCCCTTCGAGTACGACACTGATCGCAAGACMAAAAAACCTTCTAACCGGTCTTGTTTCTAGTTTAAGAGTTCGGCATCACTTTGGCTCCAGTAAAAGTTCAATGTATTTGTTGTGTCGAGCCCTTCGGGCACGGCACTGGCAGAAGAACCGCAACCGACAAACCACACAATTTTTTTCCAAAAATATTGAATATTAGGTATATCGGTACGCGCTCCACTAGTGGACCAAAGAAATGTTTCATGCCATAGAAACTTGTTCACTCGATAGTTCCKGACTTCTTCAGTTTTATTAAAACAGTCCAGGCGGTTTACAATTTCTTAATATTTTTGTCTGTTTTTTTAATAAAACTTTAGCGCCCCGAAGCTTCTTAACGATACCCTCAAAAATCTTCATTTATTAGCTCTTTTCGCCTACTAAACGGGCTCATCTCTGTCAAACATATTACCATCTGAAGCAACTAAGCGCTCAGTATGAACAAGTGGAATGCAAATAATGAGTAAAAGGCTTAAATGCTCACTCTAAACAACGGTCTCGGCTCCGCTAGTAGATCGTCCCTTTGATCTAACGTGCCCCATCTAAAGGCCAGCTCTGCGGAATATCTTTTCCAGGCTTGAAGATACGTTGTCACCCAAACCACGTTGAATATTGAAAATACCACATAACCAACGTCTTGGATAGTCTGATGTTTACTTGTACAAGTCAACTAAGGAACGATTTTTGATGATATTTAATAAACTGGGCATGATTGGATGATGGGCATACCCAAAATATGAATCCCACTACAGCAGGAATGCTCAACGCTGTAGTATAATGTCCCAGCCATGCGAAGTACATTCCAATTTTAACTCCAAAGTATTCGGTAATTTCATCTGGAAGACAATTTCAATTTCTGCAGCTCTGGTGCATCTTCCAAAAAAAATGCCTTACCAAGAGGTTGTTTAGCGAAAATGTCTTGAACCCAAGTCTGCTGTAGCCGCTCAAGCGCGGGCGGCTCATGAATTGGAAAAACCTGCGATATTACCCCACTAGTCAAAAACTTTGGCACTAAAAATGAAATAATCTGTTTGTTGAATTGCGTTAAAATGAACCCTTTGCGCCCATACCTATCGGCTGACCTTCCAGCAATGTAACGCTTGGAATAACGCGCAGTTCCTCTTTCTTCGCTCTGACACTCTCAAGCACTCTCAAAACGAGCCACTGTCTTTCTTCAGTGGTAAAAAAATGCTCTGCAGACTCGGACCCTTCATAAAAATCCTGCTCTTGGACGAAGAACTCCTTCAAACCCCCACCTTTTGATGGCTTAAGAGCTTTCGACAGATGATATTCTTCTGCTGCGTGGAGCAGCCTTTAGTATAAACAGATAATTATTTAAATACTTCCGAGTCTCGATCATTTAAGTTTTTTGCTCCAACCTTTGATTGTATCATAATAATATAAAATCAGAAACTATCCCAACTAAACCGAGGTATTGAAATGATATTTTCTGAGTTGTTGTTAACACTTCTGGAAAGTTCCGCTAAGGAGTCACTCGTCCTCCGTCTATGATAAAGAAGAAAATCATTTACTTACACTTGATTCGATGCGGTTACATAAAAAGCACTGCTCTGGGTAGAAGCATGGTATCGAACATGGATGGTCAAGCCAGTAGATTGTTTCAACTTGGGTAGAAGCCATAGAAGGAACTGATCGTCTGTCCCAGGTGGGAAACAGACAACCAAGTCGCAATTAGGGGTTGAGACGCGTTTCAGCCAAAGTCGTTTCGGCGCCAGGAAATGACCGGCGCAAGGAATTTTTTTCTTCAGTAGCTCGGAAGCTGCAATAAATACTTGTGGTAACATTGAGTTTCAACGACTTAAATAGGGTGTTTTCAAACGAGGTCGCAATGTTTTGACTGCATATAAATCTCTATTTCTTATTTCTTTCTTAGAGAGATTTCTTAACATAACAGCACGAACTGAATATCAGACAAGTAGAGGTAGAGGAGCCAATAGTACATTTAAGAAAAGGAGAATCTTCAGCTTTCGACTATATAACAGGAGAACTTTTGCAGAATCTAGATCAACGCGATACTAAAATCTTAACTGATCTAGATAGTATCTAGAACGTTGAATTAGAGAACAGATTCTTCAATATTCCAATGGTCAACTGTTTCTTAAATTAGGTACCTAAAGGCCTTTGACTGGGTCAGCTGAAAAATACTATGGAAGCTTTCTCGCGAGGTCTGGCTAAATAATAAAACCTTTATTATTTGACCAAAACAATGTGCTCAAATTAAGACTTCGAGGCGTTTGTTAGAGATGCATTCTGTCTCCAGATATCTTTAGCATCTCATGGAGAAGACATAATGAGAAAAGGAAAACGTTAAGGAATCTCAACGGAGGGCAAAATATTGCAAACTTGATATATGCAGACGATACAACGTTGATAGCAGCATTAGAGGACAGTCGAATGCATTTCTTCTTCTAAATGCACAGAAAACCTACTTGGGTTAGTTTGGGTTAGTAAATGTAGTAGTAAAATATGGTCAAGTGAGAGCGACACTCGAAGAAGAATAGGAATACGAATGATTAAAATTGCAATTGCAATGAGAAGATGGACTATTAAACCAGCGGACAGATGAAAAATTGCGTCTTAAGTAAATTTATCACCAGTATAGATTTTCTTTCATTAGTCTTACATCCTGAGGTTGTTTGGATGATGGAGACGAAAATGCGATAGTAATCTGAAAGATTGATAGTTTTGGCAACCGTAGTTGGAGTTTCATAAGAGAGAACGACTAGAGAGATTCTACAATTAGAAAGAAGACAGAAAGTTCATAAGAGGTACAGGGTGTCAAAGTTGTTTTGCAGCTTTTTCTCCACATCTCCTCGTAATTATCAGATATTCATCTCAAATTTGTACTTATTAATGAGTGCATCCTTAGCTATGTCAGAATTCGTTTCACTTTTTTGTATTTTATCCCTAAGCATTGAATTTCTTCTGCTTTTTGTATTGTGTTTATATCTATCATCGCTTTCGAGTTACTTTCATAATGATGCGACCTGAGATTGGAAAATAATAGAAAAAATGTTATTAAAAAATTAATTAGATGCAAAATTGTAGATGAGCAGCCTTAAAAATGCTAATAAATCGAAAGACAATTCATAAGAAAAATAGCCTGATTAGTTTGTTGTAAATTAAATAAAAGAACGATTTTAAAGGTGTATATTTTGTTTACTGATAGAGTAAACAAGAGTATTTATTTCGACAAATATTTGAATTCTAAACGCCGATATAAAGTAGAATTTTATTTATTAATTTGAAAGTTTGCTTTTTGAAAATAATTTATTTCCAAATTAATACAAACAATAGATTTAACTTGTAGCCGAACCTTAACTACGACTTATGACTCTTAGACCGTACATTTTAAGAGTGAATATCCAGAGACTATCGGAAACTCGATTCTTATGACTTCTGACCAAACATCTTATGACTGAATGCTCGTTTCTGCTGTGGCTTCTTCGATAGTTAAACCATCCTGATCATAGCAGAGACGATACGACGTCTAATTAAAAAAAAAAAATGTTTGTGCTACTTTCTGAGAGTATTTACCGGCTTTTAGTCCATCGTGAAAATAATTCCTTCCTTGCTGTGCGGCGCAATCACCTCTGAAGATGCAAGTTACTAATGCTTGCGAAACGTTAGGAAAAAACTCCTTTCCAGGACTTATCACGCTCAATGTCAAGCTACTTAGCACTCTATTCTGAGGCGAATTTTTTTAATCGGCACAAAAACAGTCTGAACTTGTTAATAAATTACCATTTTTTTTATTGTAATCAGTGCGCATTGCATATCTATTCTATATGCCGCTGTTCAGTTTAATAGTGGATGTATTATTCAGTAAGGAGTGAAATATGTAGAAAATAATTAGTTACAACTACTGTATATACAGCCTTTGCCTTGATAGTAGTCTTTAGTCGATAATCGAAGGTCTTAATTAACGGGAAGATTTAAAGGAGGCGTTTTATAGATTTTTTAATATTCAGTGGAGATCATAAGCGGTAAGTTACATGTAATTACCTTGACCAAGGGTTTCTTTAGCACATTTTACCAATTTTCTCCGGCGAATCGTGCCCATAGTTTCTATTAATTCGCTTGAATCTGCATTTTCCTGATTGAGCTCCGACATTTTTCACCGTCACCACCACGGTTTTCCTACTGCGTGGCAGAAGGTTCCTTAATTAAACCCGAGTTAAATCGTAATTTTTTAATACATTCACGGACCCTTTCACTTTCCCCTATTCAGCCATTTTACCCTGGTGGCGTTTGTCAAAATCAGCTGCTACGGGCAAAAACTACCCTTAAATATATTATGTATAAGGTGGATGCGCTAATGGCTCATTTACGATTGTTACAAATCGTTCCCAATATGTTCTTTTACATTAATTAGTAGGGTGAATGGCCTACTGTTAATGTGTGTTTGTTTAATGTAATTGTTCAATAATTTGACTTAATTAGAGCCAATCATTTTTGTAACACCGTATTTGTCTAGCCATTTTAATGAAAATTCTTTCGAGACTTCCATATGTGCTCCTACATATTGTAAGAGGACTAAACTCAATATTATGGCAGAAACACATAAAATGTGGCACTTACTTAAGCAGTTGAAATCGATTTTTTATATTTATATTTTGAATTAAGCGCGAAAACGCTCGTTGGTGTCATGGCGCCCCCTTTGTGACGTCAAGCCCTCGTACAGTTTACACTGTCTATGCTCAAAGCGGGAAGTTCACAAAATATACATTTTAAGTCTTAAAAATGACTTCGAAATTTTACAAGTGCTGTGCGGTTCCTCTGTGCAAAAACACATCAGTAACAACACCTAATAAATTGTTTGTTTACGTTCCAAGCAAGAAAATAGTGAGAGACAAATGGCTCAGGATGGCAAGACGAAACCCAGCAGATCTAAGCAGTAATACGAGACTTTATTTTTGTGAAGACCACTTTGATGTAAGTATTTGCTTTAGATTTATCGGTGCGTAATTGAGAATTCATTTTTGAGTTTAAATATCAATTATATTAACATTATATAAATAATTAGCCGAGGTTATGTTTGTTTTGGTTTTTATCATTTCCTATAGTGACGTTAAACGTATCTTTTGAATCCCTCCGATTTTTGTTTTCTCTTGTCTTACCTTAAAGCGCACTTTAAAAGTAATTGTATCGTTTGAGTCCCTCTGAATTTTTAGTTTTTTCTTGTTGTTATTACTTTAAATTAAGCAGTTTCAGCGAAAAAAACCCTCACAAAGTTTGAGAAAAATCAGCATTTTCCGGCTAACTTTTGCGAAAAAACACAATTGTTATGCATCTTAGCGACAATTTTGCATGTGGAGTTAAGATTGGTTGATACATAACACACGATTTAGCAGTAAATAGCATCGGACAATCTGATTTTCGTGCATAAATAAGTGGTTTTGGGAAAGCGAATTTCAAAAGTTTGTTTGTTTTTTCGCTGAAACTGCCAATTTAATGTGTTTTTTAAGGTCAAACATAAAAATGCAAAAAATTCGGAGGCACTCAAACGACATGATCACCTCCCTAGACTATTTATTCTCCTTTCAGCTGCCTAATGATATGCAAAACTATATGCAGTATCATTTGATGGGCTCAGTATCACAAGTGCGAATGAATCCAGGGTGTATTCCCAAAAAATTTGCATGCCAACCAGATAGAAAGATACGAATACGTAAGAAGCGAAAAATGTTAGCTTTTGAAGAATGTGAAAAGCAATTAAAATAAACTATTATGGTTGCAGGTCATTTTGATGTTCAACAAATTGTACCCGGATTTTCAGGTAGATATTTTTCCAATATTTATGTAATTTTAAGCTTTACCAGGGTTCAATACAACAAGAAAGATATGTAGGTTATTAGCAAAACGATGGCAAAAGTAAGTAATATATTTCGATGTTTGTGACTTCATAAAACATGGTGTTATTTAAATATTTGGTTAAAATTTCAACTTATATATTTATTAATAATATATCATAATTTAACTGTAGTACACTTTAAATTTTTTTGCGTTAAGGACTAGCTCAACTGCAGTTTCTCCCATTTGAATTAAATAAAAACCAGCTTTTTTCGAATATTCAAAAATTATTTAAGTACATAAATGCAAAGCTTTGGAAAACCAGATTGCGACAAAACATTTTTATTACAGAATGCTTGATATTAAAGTAAAACAAAAAAAACCTAACAGTGTATTATAAAGTACAAATATATCACTGAATAGTGCTGATTCAGTCTTCTTAGAAGCGCTATACATATTTACACCCGTTAAAGTAATAAGGCAACTAGGAAATGTTACTGTAACGTATTAATAAATATCTCCAAAATACCCAATCCTGGGTTAACCCTCGTTAGACTTAAGCTAGTTTTAGTTATGTCGTCCTACTCGCTGTTAAATCGAACAATGTTTCATCCTCCTCATCATCTGATAGAGGTAAAGGTTCCATTTCAATGTCACTTCTATGGGTCTTAATTCCATATCTTCTGATTATAATTTTGGATTTATCCAACTTTTTTCTCCTGAAATCAGTCGATTATTATTATTATTATAAATTATCTGAATTATTCGAAATTAATATGCGAAGCTTGATAGGCATATTCTATCTATTAGAAAAATTACACAAGCAGCGCTCTGAGTAAGTATTATTTGTTCTGTTTGTTAACAGCAAAATAAGAATATGAATCTCGTTATTACATAAGGTATGTGTTAGTGTGCACAATGGAAAAAAGGTGTTCCTTGATATTTGATAGATTGTGTAATAATGGCAACTTACTTATATGTTTTAATGCCGACATATAGCAAAAATAAGCAGCTAATTCCTACAACAACTAAAATTCCACGTGTAATTGCGCCTGATTCCACTTCGTTTACCTCCTCTAAGGCCGGATCGATTTGACCAACGCTTTTAGTATTGGGGTTGCTGGTATGATTTATACTTGTAGGACTAATGTCTGTTGGTGAACCCTTGCCAGGGCTTGTTACTTGTTGCGGTGGCAATTTAACGTCCAGATTTCGATCGGCAGGGCCTTTGATACTCATTACAACAGGTTGCTGGTTGTTCTGTTTCTGATCAAGCTGTTGTTGAGGTATAACGTCACTTCTGTTATTTGCCTTATACTCTGGCCTAATAGTATCGGCCTTTTGGCAATAAACAGTAAATAGTAGTATGAAAATTGCAAGGAAATGCATGTTGGTAGTGGCAAATACGTTTGTGCATTACCTTGACGATTAACTCGACTTATTTGACTTGATTTGCCTCCAATTTTTTTGCTTTAGGGGAAATTAAAAGTTATTTTTTTATACATTTGTTGATATTCGAGTTGGAAAATAAAATTTTAAACAACGTCAACAAACACTAACCATTAACCTACACGAACCTAACAAAATAGACATTTCAATGTCGGTTGTCAAATCTGGGTTTCTATCGGGCAAAGAATATAATCGGACAGAAGGGAAGCTGTGGCGATCTCACCGGTTTGTATGTTAAATATGCATTGATAAAACTTAAAAAAATCAGAAGCAGTTTGAGTGAGTCGCAATGTGTACGTTTGTTTTGTCTTAATATTTATTTAAATATAATAATTCAATTGAATACAGCGAAAGAACTCGAAAAAAAATAGAAAAGTTTATAAAAACATCTACCCAAATGCGTCGTTTCATACTGCACTTATACATGATTGTTATTTTTTTAAATAGTTAATTAAGTAATAAGTAGTAAAGAGCTAAAATTTATAAATATTAAAATTTAACTCCCTATAGAACAGTTATTACTGAGTTTTCGAAAAAGTGTTATATGAACTATAAAAACTTGGAAGTACTCAAACGACATGTTTACCAAATACTATATTTGAATTTACTGACACAGAATATTCCCTCGATGGGAGGATGTTCTGTGGCTTACTATCAACTATCGTTAGGATATAAACGCGCTCTTTGACTTTGACGTTTCCAATTAAGATAACCCCCATAAAAAAGTGTACATATAAATAAATACAAATATAAAAATTGAGTTTTTTTGTTAAATGGAAATGGGCAGATCTAAAAACAATTATTCAACGCGTGGTAGAGAAAGGAGTTCACGCAATTATCGTGGTGGGCGAAGCAGAGGGTTGGTAAATCTTTAGCTAACAATTTAGAAAAAATGTATGGTTTATACAATTAACAAACGCCGAATATGCTTCAGATATCGGCCTAGAGGAAGACCCGCGTTCCGAAGACATCACAATGATATCGGAAGACGTTTTCGTTGGGAACGATCTCAATCACCGGTTGAAGGAAGTGAGGAGTTTATGGATCGCAAAATTCGAAATACTAGTGCCATAATTATGAGGCATTTATTTGATGGAAATGACAATTGCCCCGTTAGTACAAATATAATAGATAGTACTGAAGACAGAACCCAAATCGACACAGTTGACAAAAACATCAAAAGCTCTGGAAGAGCAAATAGTGCTAAACCGCCAACCAAAACCAATAAGACCAGCAATGCGAATTTAACGGCTGAACAAATTTATGAAAAAATAATGAATCATATCACGAATCTTAATGATGGAAGAAAGAAAAACTTTATATATACTAATAGCAGTAGCGGCTTGAACCAGGCAGTCACAGATATTCAAAAACAAAACAGACTTGAAATATCCAGAATCTTAAGGGATATGAGTTCATTAACTGATAGGAAGGATCCTGAATATCACGATACTTCCATTGTTCCAGACATTGGCATTAAAATCGAAGAATTGCCTGAAAATGTAATTGAAGAACTGAAACGATGTCTCAATGTTGATTTACTGAGTTTGAATGAAGGTAAATTAATACGATTTGCTTCATGGTGACAAATTTCATTTAGGCGAACTTGCGTCCGACCACAAAATACCATCTCAGTTCAGTTCAGTGTCAGCGTTTATTGGGTTTAAACGAATTTGTTGTTGTATGTGTGTTTAACCTTCTCTGATAATCCGATTGTTAAAAACTTGAAAATGCCAATCCAGCCCAAGCTCTACGGTCCTTTGAACATTTAAGTTTTACTTCTTAGAAAGCAAAAGTTGGTTTAGGTAGAAGCTGTTTAAATTGCTATTGAAGATTGAAAAGAGTGATTTTTAGGTCATTGGAAAATAATTTCTCGTGAAGTTTCGAACATCGTTTCACTCAGAGGTTTTCCCGGTCGAAAGTTCACCGTGAACCAGCCTAACTTTACTAACTATGAAATTAATTTAGTCATTTCTTCAACACCTTCACTTTTATTTTGTACTTTTATTTTTGTATCAGACTAGCAAATGTTTAAGGCGTACGCAATAATAATTTTTGACAGGAAGAATATAAAAGCTATATAGCTTGAATTACTAAATACACTAAAATAATAGTTTATTTTCGCTATACAAAAACTTTGATAAATGACAAAATCTTCATAACATATTAGTATACGACTCACATTTCACCTATAAACCAATACTTATTACGATTTTTGTTTCCAACTCCACTCCATGGAGGTTTAGATATCAGCTCCAATTTCAAACCTATT